AATCCATTCATCATTTGGGAAATGAAAGGAAATAGCCTTATGTATAGCACAGGTAAAATACAAATGTGCGTAGTGTATAGTGTATAGTACATATAGATGTATACAGATGTATAAAATAGGACCCCAGGTAACCTCCTACATGAAAAAATTTAAAAAAAGAAATCCAGATGGGTCATATAAAGTTAACACTTACCAATACATAACTGCCATTTTAGATAGGTCCTGTTCTAGGGATTGGAGAGCCAAGTACATTTTAGTCTTCAGTTTGCTATGGGAAGTTAAAAAAAAATTAAATAATTAACAAATATACATATCCATGCACACAAAAGCAGTGATATAGAAAGTCTAGAGTGAAGTCTACATTGACAGCAACTAAACCAGCTGTTTAAAAATGTCAATAGTGGGGGGCCCTCCTGGTGGCACAAAGAGTTAAAGCTCAGCTCTGTAAAGCTAGTCACAGCCACTGTAGCATGAATTTGATACGCAGCCAAAAAGGTGACCCACATGGCACGGCAGACCTCTCTTGTCCTGTCCGCTGCTCCACCTCAACAGTATATTTTAGTGGCTCTGTCTATTCTGCTCCCCACTCTGTTTCTGGTGAATCCTCTCACTGGCCTACACCTCTGGCTTGTATTCCAGTTCTTGTTTGCATAGATAAATAAATTCTGTTTGTTTTTAAAAAAAAGTCAATAGTGAGCCTCTCTGGTGGCCTAGGGGTTAAGTCCCTATCAACACTGTAACCTGAGTTCAATCCCTGGCTAGGGAGCCAACTCATATGTGATGCAGCAGACCAATCCTATCTCACCCACTTTTCCCATTCCCCCAGCAGTGTATTTCAGTAAACCTGATCTGCTCCATATTTTGTCTCTGGTGACTCCTCTCACGCTCTGAACCTCTAGCCTATACCCCAGTTCTTCTATGCAAAAAAAAAATCTTAAAAACAAGTCAATAGTAATGGACCCAAAGTTATTTTTGTTTGTTTAAGAATACTAAGTAGAACCCTCCCTGGTGGCACATCAGGTTAAAGCACAGCTATTGTGAATAAGAAGCTATTCAAAGCCACTGAAGCATAAATTCAATCCCTGACCAGGGAGGTGATCCATATGGCATGGCAGACCTCTCCTGTCTTGCCCACTGCTTCACTCAGCAGTGTATTTTAGTCCATCTGCCTGTTCTGCTCCCCACTATGTCTCTGGTGAATCCTCTCATGCCCCACAAGTCTAGCCTGTACCCCAGTTCTTGTATCATAAATAAACAAATGTAAAAAACAAAACCAAACAGGTTTCAAAAAAACCCGTAGTAGGTTAAAAATGAAAATATTCAATCAGTTCCACAACTAATTTTTTTCATCTAGAAATTAGTATCTTGATATCATCTCAAGTATTACAGTTGATCAAAATTTTAGCATAATCTATTAATTAATTTATAAGTCATTATTTAAAATATCTTTGAAAGTAGGAAGCTGAGCTAGTTTGTCAGTATGAAAAATTTCTAAGCATAAAATTGTTTATAAATTTATAGTAATTCTTTCAATAACGCAAAAAAGGAAAGAAAACATAAAAATACTTACTTGTCCCCTGGAAGGTTATAAAGATTAACAAGACCCTTAAGGTGCTTAGAAAATTCATCAAAATTTTTTTCCCTATAAGAAATGCAGGGAAAAGGGAAAGAGAAGAAAACAAGAAAAATTATGACAATCTGCAAAGCCCCCAAAATTACAGCTTTATAAACTGATTTTATTCATTTACTTGAATCTTTCCTCATAGCCTAAGTTTCCTTGAGTCAATCAAAAGTAGCAATAAAAGATGAAATGTTTTCCTTTCTTTCTCTGTCCCATTTTTCTAAGAAGCTAACGTAAAAGAAAGTCTAAGTGGAAAGTCATCAAACAGACCTTATAATTCATACACTAATTAGCTGATAATTAGTAAGATCTTATTTTAAAAGACTATTTTCCATTCCTTGTTATGTTAACTGAGTCGAGATGTAATAATCAAAAAAAAAGAAAAAGCTTTAAAATGGAGAGGTAATGGAAAAAAGAAAGATAGAACATTTATGTGAACACAGCAATATGAAAGAATAAAAATGCACTAACTGAGTAAAAGATCGGAAATCTAAGGGAAGAGGGGTGGGTACTAAAGGGGTAAGCCACATCTTCCAAAATATTCCCATGATTCAGTTGGACCCAGAAAACCACCACTAAAATTCCTGGCTTCCTAGAATCCAAAAGTCAGACTTGGAGTCTCAGTAAAATGGGCTTTTGTGATAAGTAACCCAACACAACTCAACCATTTTAACTTTTTTTTTTTCAAATTAAAAAAATAATACTCTGGAAAGTTATATTAGCCTGAATATATCAGATATTTTGTCATTTATTGAGCATTTAATGACACCTACTGACCTAAGTACCAATTAAGACAATAAAATGAAAAGCATCAGCAAGATGTATTTTTCAAATTACCATGTATGCAAAGTGACTAAAATAACTAATACTCCTTTTGAGATTCCATCTGACAAATTAACTTCAGAATATCACCACTCTGTAAATTGGTGCTATCTCCTATTCCAGATATCTAGAAATATTGCTTTTCTTATTCTGGTAATACACCTTTACTAGACTGATTCAATTAAATCATGAAAAGTCTTTTTTTTAAATTATGCATTGCATTTCTTTAAATGCTGATTCAAATGTGATTCATCTGGCTATAAATGCATTGAAAGATTAAGCATAAAACTTTTATTCTCAACAATAACACCTTTTCTAAGACATTTCCATGTGGTATCTGAGAAATTCACTATTTCTAAAACATAAAACTGAGACTCACTTGTGGTATAAGGGTTCAGTCTCAGCACTATCACCACAGCATCATGGGTTCCATCCTCAGCCAGCAAGCTGACCCATACGGTCCAGAAGACTTCTCCTGTCTCACCTGCTGCTCCCCTCAGCAGTGTACTTCAATAGATCCACCTGTTCTGCTTCCCACTCTGTCTCTGGTGAATCTTCTCACCCACATCTCATACCTTTGGCCTACACCCCAGTTCTTCTATGCATAAACAAATAATCTTAAAAAAAAATACTAAAACTGATGAAAGATTATCTCAGTGCTAATGTTATTGTGAGTTTATGTTTCAAGTAGGGAAATTTCCCCTCAATTCTAAAGGAAAAAAAATAAGCCAATGGAAAAAGTCATCATCCACTAAAGACTATCTTCAAGTTTAGCAATTTACCATGAAGGGAGTTTATCAAAAAAATACCTAAAAGGTAAAATCATACCAGCTACTACTAGCAACTAGTGGTGCAAGAACATGAAGGCAATTAAAAAATTCTATGCTGCACAGGATGGCCTCCTAAGAGCAAAAACTTTTTCTATTTTAAACTGTCAATACTGCCAAAAATTAGAAAACCTGGGAAAGATTAAGTAGGATAAGAACTAAGCAAAACCAATCTAAAAGCCAATAAGTACAGAGCCTACAACATCTTGACTCAAGAAAATACATCTGTTCATCATGAAAGTAACTCCTGATCAGCTTCAAAACCTAGGTATGAAGACAGCATTTTCTCCCAATATCAAAAAATACAAATGTTATTTGCTTACCTTAGCTGCTGCACAAGCTCTGGACAGCTCTGAAATTAAAGAGATTATGTTAAAACTTTAAACTACTTTATGACCTCTTAAGACATCAATATTTTTTCATTTTTATTAACAGCACATGCTTTTTAATAAAAACATTAAAACTATAGAAGGTTCTTATGTAATCAAAAAGTATTTTCTTCTACTTAGTAATCCATGGGGTTGGGGCAGGAATTTAAAAATCAAAATATAGGAAATAGTTTACAGCAGAATCATCTCTCAGTAAATTTTTTAAAACATTAGGACCTCTTTTTAAAGCCTGGTATCATATTGACACATTTTACATTCATGTTTATTACAGCATTTTTCAGAGACATTAGTTGTGTATATATGATTATCTGTCACTGATTGTAAGTTCTTTGAGGATAGGAACTTTGAGGTATTTATCTTTGTATCCTCATCACCTGTTATACAATTGCGGCTCATGTTTGTTGATACGAAATGGAAAGGGTTCCTCTGCTGTTCCATTTGTCAAAGCCTTTGGATGATGTCAAAGATGGACCCATATTATCCTATGGTTATTGATGCTGTAGCCCATTGCATCATGTCTACAGTGGCTCGTGAAAAAAATCTAAGACCCAACTGCTTCAAACCCAACAATTCATTTTAAATTAGTGTCCCTATGTAAAACCCACACATTCCAGTGAAATATCAACAACACATACCACAGGATTCTCCCCATGGTGAGCCACTTTTACATCACAAAGCTGTCCTGCAGGATCTAACTGCACTTCCACATAGAACATATCTGACGTGATGTAACATTCAGTGCCACTGGCACTGAGATGAGAGCCCAGTCTAGCAGGAACAAATCAAAACAAAAATTAATACAAGACACATAAATAAAGCCACCCAAAGTCAACACTAAGTTAAAACATTTCTGTCTGCAGATGGGCTACTTACCCATTCTGTCTTGCTATAGACTCCAAACGATCAGTCATTGCTGGTAAAGATGTTACTACAAAAGGGTGAAAAAAAAAATCACAAAGCAGTCTCCAATAACTTAAATTGTAATCTTTAAAGCTAGAAAAACATTGAGGAGCATGTCTGTCCTTCCAAAGCCATAAAGAAAAGCATTCATTAGTTCAAATGCTTAAGCAGTACAAGTGTCAAAAAAAAAAAATTCTAGCTGAAAATACTGTTGGGACCTTTCTCCTCTCCCTTTTTTGATACTCATGTGGGACAAGCTATTTTTAACTTATCCACATCTGTTTGCTAATGCTAGAATAAAAGAGTAATACCAAAACTAACATTAAAAACAAATATGCAATGTTCATGGCAACATTATTTACAATAGTCAAAAGGTATCAACAAAGTGACCATTGATGGACGAATGAATAAAGAAAATGTGATGAATCTATTCATTCTTCAGCTTTCTTAAAAAATAAATCCTGAGGGCCTCTCCCTGGTGGCACAACAGGTTAAAGCACCACATTATGAAGCTCTCCAAAGCCACTGCAGAGCAAATTCAATCCCTGGCCAGGGAGCTGACCCACAAGGCGTGGCAGACCTCTTCTGACCTGCCCACTGCTCTCCTCAGCAGTGTATTTCAGTACATCTGCCTGTTCTGCTCCCTACTCTGTCTCTGGTGAATCCTCTCACCCACTACACCTCTGGCCTGTACCCCAGTTCTGTAAACTTTTTAAATCTTTAAAAAAATAAATTCTGAAACATGCTACAAATGGATAAATCTTTAAGACATAGTAAATGAAATTAGTCTCAAAAGGACAAGTACTTTATGACTCCACTGCTATAAGTAGCCAAATTCTTAAGAGACAAAAAGTAGACTAGAAGAGAATGAGAAGTCATTCCTTAATGTACAGAGAATTTCAGCTTGAAAATTAAAAAAACATTCTAGAGATGAATGGTGGTGACTGGTTGCACAATGTGTCTACACTTATTACTTCTGAACAGTACATTTGAAAATAGTTAAAATATAAGTTTTTATATTATGCATATTTTACCACAATTAAAAAAAAATCTAGTGGAATCAAGTTCATTATGGGGTCAAAATGTATTTTACTTTCATTTCCTTCCAAAACACAGAAATAATAATTATAAGAATGAATTAAGTTATTTTGCTTATTTTCCTGACAACATAGTCCATAATACTGTAAAAGTCTTTAGTGACATTAATTAAAGGAGAAGCTGCAAAGGAAAAAACAGAACTCCCCCTGGTATTTTAGTTACCCTGCAAACCAACAGCTTTTAAGTCTCTCCCAGCTTCCAGTACAGAATCAAAAATAAATGTCTCAGAAGTTCAGAAAAGAGCTTAACTCATAATAAAAGCAAAAGCAACACCTAACAGGACAGTTGACCTATATCAAGTAGGTTAAGTACAAGAAGTTAATCTCAAATTGAGGATCTTAAGAAATCAGCATGTGCCAATATTTACAAACCTTTGAGAGCTTTCTGTAATGTCTCCAAACAGCTGACCAAATGTTGGTGCCCTCCAGAACTCATCACCACCCTCTTCTCCTGTATTAAGTGGGGATATATTGAAGGTAAAAATTAATCAAGCTAACAGTATTTCAGTTAAACAATACACGTCGTCCTACTAGTAATACTTCAGCTTATTCTGTGGACTAGATGCCTTGGCCTGTAGACTGTGTGTTCTCTGAATTGTCTCAGATGTCTATTTCCCAGCCCATCCATCCAAAGGAATAAAAGTTTATATACATGGCTATATCTGTAGCCATACACCTAAAGGTAGAAAAAGGTATTCCCAGATCTAAATAATCTTCAGGGTAAAATTAGAAAGAATAGAATGTAATAAATGAGATCAGTTTCCTGCAAAACTATATCCTAAGATTAGTAAAATGAAGTAGCTGAGGAAATCTGGTAACTCCCAAATCTAACAGGGTGTTTACATGATGTAATCTGAGAAATATAACCAGAACTTAGTCTAACTAAATTGACTCCCAGAAAAGGGACTCCCAAAGAAACAAAACAAAAGGCAGTTTTTCTAACAGTATTCAGGGGAGAAGTTTCTATCTGTTAATATTCTAGTCCCCAGAAATGTGAACAATTTTACATGATACTAGGGTAGTTTTCCAGGCTTTTTCTCACTCTAAATCCTTCTCTGCTTTAATTCCAACCTTGCAGAATAAAAATCTGACTAATCAAATATCTGGCTTTTTTTATACTTTCAACAAAGAAGGAAGGCTATCAATGATGGACACCATTATTTTGGTAAACTAGTGATTCTGGTACTAAAAGAAGGTCTTAGCAGTCACTTGGAATTCCTCTATCTTATGATGTCTCACTTAAGATAATATTTATAGAACACATCTCAAGCTATAATGATAGTATTTATGGAACATACCTCAATCAATGAGAACATATTGCAATAACATGTCTACCTCACAGAATGAAAATAACCTCTGAACTTCTATACTGGAAATGTTACCAAATCTTTAAATATTTAAAAACTTTTTTATATGTTCCTGTGCACAATCCTGAGCCAGAAGATGTTCTTGTAGAATTTACAGTTATAGAAATCTTTTAACACAACATTTTGATATTTATCATCTCATTTGATCTTTACAGCAAAACTATGAAAAAGCAAAGTGGTGGTGTTCTGTCCCTTTACTGACAGTAGTCACCACTACTTTCTAGGTACGGACTCAGAAATATTAAATAATTTGTCCAAGGGTTGGAGTCAAACCTAAAATACAGACAGTAAATTCAATTATTTTGCCAGAATATAATGATACGGTCATTTTTAAGTCTACTAAACTGAACTTATTCTGGAACCAAAGTAAGATTTATACATACATATACATAAAAGTATAAATGAAGAAATCCAGAATTATCACAAAGTGAACACACCCATATGACCACGAGCCAGTAGAAGTTTTCCTACGCCATTTAACTGCCTCTGGAATCATGGATGAACTATTAAAATTTAGCCACCACTCCCACCACCGACTCTATTTTCCACTTTACTGGCTAACAATTCCCCATACTGGGGGATGACTCAAGAAGAGTTCTAGTGTGAAGAGGTTGACAGAGTGAAAAGATGAAGCCATATTAAGAATGAACTGCAAACAATGCTAGTAATATAGATATAATGAAAGTATGACCACATTAAAATCATGGAGCATGACCGGAAGTGAATAACCAATGTCTTCTTACACTAGTATATTCATGTGTGTCTCTTATAGATGTATCCCTAAGCATTTTTTTACCTGAAATATACTATAACTCATGATTAACACAATTCTATAAATATACCTCCTTCTATAGACTCTTAAACCATGTACTCAGATGCTTTATAGATAAATAAACTGACCACACACAAGTACCTGGTTTGAAAAATACCACACAGGGAACTTAGCTTATTAAATAATTAACTAGGCACAAAACTTTACCACTTCACCACAATCCTCACCATGACTTGTCGCACAAGCTTAATGGTTTCACTCCAAGGTCTATTTTGGTTAAATTTTGCATGGAGCCGTTCCAAAAGAGAACTCATCTTACTCAGCTTTTCCGACTCTATAATGTAAATCAGAAAACATCATTAGAAACTCTTCTATGGAGACCTTCCATTTTTCCTTGCAAAATAAAACCCCAATACTTCATCCTGATAAGAACTTGGTTAACTTTTTATTTACTTGGTATCATTTACTTCAAAACACACAAATGAAATTCTTTTTAATGACAAGAAACATAATTTATGGGTCTAATCCAACAAACATCGTAATATAGAATTTCCTTCTATTCAAGATCAATATTACAATTTATTGACAAGCTCATTCCTATATGCATGAAATCTCTTACATGATAATATATAAACACCTCAGGTGACAGGTGTGAATAAGCTAATATGGAATTAACCATCAAGCAATACAATGTGATATACGCATTTAAAAACAGACACATTATTACTGAACTTTAAGGAGGAAATGCTACTTAGTTGTGGAGCTGTTACATAAAAACTGACAGTCGATCTCAGAACTGAAAGAGGAATAGTACATTGACAATGGAGTTAACACAGTGAAATCTAAGTCAAAATTCAAACTCCTTCAATGCCCTCATTTTCTGATCAACTGATTTTGAGGCTGTTTTAGCCAGCTTACGGATCTGGATACATTTTTGGCACTTCTCACTTTCAAGTGTCATTCATTCAAGAACTATTTTCATACTGAGAATACAGCAGTGAGCAAACTAGATTAAAATTCCCACTTCATCAAGCTTCCACTTTTACACTTGTCATCCTTCCTCTCAGTCTCCCTTTTTTTTCCTGAGAAAGCGGATGACAAATATCTTTACATGATTGTTTAAATTAAGCATTTTTTTTGGGGGGGGGGAATTATGTGTACTAACAACTATACAGTTAGGCAAAGTCTCTAATCTACAAAGCTCGGTAGATAACACACCCTAAGATGTATTAACAAAACGTGTCCAAACGGTAAGGAAGCACCTAAACTGTAGTGTGGAACTTCAGCGAATCTAAGATTCCACAGAAAAGATGTTTTTCCGCAGTTCTAAGTTGGTCCAATCATTGAAAGGATGAAAATCGAAGCACTTCTAAATTACACAATAAAATAGACAACAGTACAAGATCTTAGCACTGCCACATCCTAGGAACTGTTATTGGCTATTACTATCATAGCGACCTAATAACTATACTCACTGCAATACACAGCTGTGTACTGTTCCTGTCATTATTCAGCCTTCTCTTCTGGTGGAAGGTGTAAGCAGGTATTAGAGTCACCTCCCTGGTCTTCCATCGCTTTTAACTAAAAATGCTCAGAGACACGACTGACTGCCCCTAGCAGGAAATCGTCACAGAAGTTGAGAGCCCCCATCAACTCAAAGTTGAAGCTCTCCATCACCTGTGAAGACACTGTTAGAATCTAAAACTCACAGGTATCCCGCCTGCTGGATTCTGGAGCACTCAGAAGAGTGGCCCCAGCGGAGACATCGGCTCCCCCTGTCTTCTCACAGATTGGCTCCCCCCAGCTGTGTCCCGCCCCCTGTCCCCCCCCACCCCCAGTCACTCACCCTCGGTTTCCCCCTGAGCCTTCATCCTGACGGTGGGGAGGGCCTCGATCCTCCACAAGAGGATAAGCCTTTCCCCACCACTAACGGGGAAACCAAGTTGGTTCGAGCTTCCCGGATGCAGGGCACGAGCAGTCCCCACTATACCCGGGAAGGCTCAGGCTGAAGCCCCCGGCGGCAAGAAGGGAAGGGTGCTCGAGGCCGCCGCCATCTTCCCCAACGGAACTTTCCAGAGATCGCGAGATTCAACGTGACCCTCCGCGAGAGAAGAAAAGGGCTGGGCAGCAAAATATCGCGGAAATGGTTGAATGAGAATCTTCCCGCGAGATTCTTTCAACAGCCTCCGATTTCTTATTTCTGTCGTTCGGCGTTTCTAGGAAAATTATCCTTTTTGTTTTGATATTTAATCAGTTTACAAGTTAAAGTCACCGGCTCTTTTATGAAAGAATAGCTAGGAATACATTAGCATAGACAATACTTTCTTTTTTGAGATATTAAGTCGTAGAAAAGATACTAGCTCTGTTTAAGACGACGTTTAAATCCAGATACGATACACTTTGCATTTCCTTTATATATATGTATTTCTGCATTAAAAAAAAAACACGGCTCGACTACTGAAAGGTAAACATAGGGGATTTCCTTCCATCTTTTCTAAAGCGTTCCTTGAGCAATTCCAGTGTTTTAAAGAGCTGAGAGATTTGGACTTAGGTGAATGTGTTTGCAACAGTCCGAGCATCAGATGATATTAATTATATTTAGGATCCCAAAGGTGTTCACAATTGTGTCTCTTGAGATCATAGTGAAAACAAGCAGTTAAGCTCTTACTCTTCAAGTCCCAAAGGAGGTGTAGTCTAATCACTTATGTAAGTACATCCTCACAACGAATTTTGGAGTAATGCTTCTGAGAATTTCATGACCACTGGACCTGAAGAATCAATCTAAAATACAATACTGCTAGCTGTGTGAATGTCAAAACTTTTAACCACGAAAAGTTGGATTTCAGCTAGTTTGTTCTAAGAATATTAAGCAGTGGATTTCTAATGACTTGCAAGTCTGGAACACTCCTCACATTTCAAAAATGTTATTCAAACATCCTCCAAGGCCATTTCAGTGAGTAACTGTAGTTGAAATGATCAGGCACAGCAATAGGAAAGTAGTAAGTCTAGATACTTAGCAATGCCTCAGAACATGTTAATTGCTACAAAGATAAATACAACTAAGCTCCTTGGAAGTAGACTTCAATTTTTATTTTCTGTCTATTCCTTTATCCTCATTCCTTAAAGTCACTACACTGAGTTTCTTGGGGTAGAAACTTATTTTGGAATCTCCTGTACTTAGCCCTAATAAGCCTTACCAGACTTTGTTCTTTCCCTCTTGAAAATCCCCTTACCTTCTTTCATATTCAGAAAACTTCTGCACCCCTTTCTCCCCCAACATCCTTCAACTGGTCTTTTTAACTAATGGAGGTCCTTTGCCCATTCCACACCTGTCACCCCCTAAGGCCCCTGTATTCATATCTTAATTTTTTTTAAATAAAGGTTTATTTATTTATGCATACAAGAACTGAGGTATAGGCCAGAGGTGGGGGGTGAGAGGATTCACCAGAGACAAAGTGGGGAGCAGAACAGGGAATTGACCGAAAAGCCAATACTGAAGGGAGCAGCAGGTGAGACAGGAGAGGTCTGCTTTGCCATGTAGATCAGCTCCCTTGCTTGGGAAGGAAGTTGTACTGCATTTGCTACTAACAGCTTCAGAGTAGATCCCTTTGCACCACCAGGGAGGCCCCCACCCCAACCCTTAATGGATTCACCTGTTTTAAAGTTTTGGAAAAAATGACCCCTAAAGTCATACCTACTCAAAAATTGCTAATTTATTATGATGTACAAACTATCAATGTGAGATACACTACTACACTGTTTATTGAAATTCTCTCCTATAAACAGTGCCTGTACTAAGTGTAATCAGGAAATTTTAAACTTTATAAAGGTTGAAAACAGTAAATTTTAACAAAATTTGGTCACAAAATAGGAAGTTACAATTTCTTATTTGAAGACACAAATGAAGTGACATTGCTGAAAAATGTGTACTCTAAAAGAAAGAGACACGTTATTAAATAAGAAAACCATTGAAAATTCACACAGGAACACCTTCTTTTATGGCAAGAAGGAAGACATGGACAAAAATCACTCCAATTTTTTAAAAAAGATTTATTTATTTATGCGTACAGAACTGGGGTACAGGCCAGAGGTGCAGGGCCATGAGAGGATTCACCAGAGACAGAGAGGGTAGCAGAACAGGCAGATTGATGAAGTACACTGCTGAGGATAGCAGCAGGCTGCTCAGGAGAGGTCTGCCGGGCCATGTGGATCACTGCCAGGGCCTTGATGGAACATGCACTGAAGTGGCTGCGGCCAGCTTGCTCACTCCAAAATTTTGAGAGCCTCCAAGGACTTTATATTTTTGTTTTCCAAGAACGGTTTTTATTCATTTATTTTTAATTTTCTTTTTACAATTTTAAAAAGGACAGGTTTTTATGGCCCTCTCTGGTGGTACAAGGGGTTAAAGCACAGCACTCTGATGGTGGCTGCAGCCCCTTCAACCTGAGTTCCCATCCCAGCCAGGAAGGTGGCCCACAATGCACAGCAGACCTCTCCTGACCAGCAGTCTGTTGCTCCCTCAGCAGTGTACTTCGTTGGTATGCCTGTTCTGCTCCCACTCTGTCTTTGGTGAATCCTCTCACTGCCCTAGAGCCTCTGGCCTGTATCCCAGTTCTGTATGCATAAATAAATCCTTTTTGAAAAATAAAAGGACAGGTTTATCATGAAAAGGAAAAAGAAAAAGAAAGGCACCAACATAGTAACAAACAAGCAGGAGAGCTGCTCCAAGGTATTTTTAAATATTTACTTATTTGTTGCATAGAAGAATTGGGGTGCAGGCCAGAGGTTTGGGAGGTGATTCAGTAGAGTGGGGAGCAGAATATGCAGATCTGCTGAAATATATTGCTGAGGGGAGCAATGAGTGAAACAGGAGAGGTCTATAAAGGAAAAAGTTATTATAACTTCAGTTATATATTTCCTCTTCTATACAGCCTAAATGGAAGTTTCTTGACTTGCTTGAAAGAAATTACAGGGAACATAAAGTCATAATCTGATTGATCACCTTGGGGCTTACAGAGTTGCCCTGACAGTCTGCACTGAGAGTTCATGCAAATAAAGCAAATAACATAGTACTCCAGCCTCTGAGTTCAAAGTTTTCCTATGGAGTAAAGCAACCCTTGGTATATAAAAATACTGTTGTTAGCATTTTTTGGACCAGATCCTACAATTTTAAACAGATTTCGTATTTAAAATTTGGACACAATTTGAGAGAACTAGAGCAGAGCGTTTTTTCAGCATTATTGAGATACAATTGATGTTTTAGTGGAATGTTAATCCACCAAAAAGAAAGGATAGTGCTAGAGAAAGAGTACCAGGCCTCCCTGGTGGCTCATGGGTTAAATTCTCAACACTATGAAGTTAAAGCTAGTCACTGCAGCATGAGTTCCATCCCAGTCACCGTGGTGACCCAAATGGCCCAGCAGACCTCTCCTGTCTTGCCCTCTGGATCCCATCAGCAGAGTATTTCAGTAGATCTGCCTGTTCTGCTCCCCACTCTGTCTCTGGTGAATCCTCTCACCCCTGTCCCACACTTCTGACTTACACCCTAATTCTTGTATGCATCAGTAAATACAATAAATCTTTAAAAAAGAAAGAGTACTGGCCTACATTTAAAAACAGAACTATCCTTGTTTCTCAGGCTTCCAACACATGAGTGTAATCTATGTTGTTACACTTTCAACACAACAGCATGAGTGTAAATATGTTCAACTCTTTTTAAGTCTGTTTTCACCCATTAGGTGCTAATAATAATATCCATCCTGGCCATCAGGTGATTTATTGGTTCAACCAACATTTATTGATAGGCTTAAAAAGTTCTGTGGAAATTATAAAGTACCATAGAAATATGTAAAGTTTCTGTGAAATTACTTATCTGTATGAGGAAGCCATTTTTCTCTAGAATAATGTATTGAAATATTAGGGAAAGAAGCATACTTGAATTTAAAATTGTCTGGGTTCTACCTGATAGCACAGCACTACATAGCTAACTGCAGCCACTGCAGCACGAGTTCAATCCTGGCCCAGATGGCACAGCAGATCTCTCCTGTCTCACCACTGCTCCCCTCACCAATGTATTTCATCAAGCTGCCTGTTCTGCTTCTCACTATGCTTCTGGTGAATCCTTTCACCACACTTGTGCCTCCAGCCTATACCCCCAGTTCTGTATGCAAAAATAAATAAATCTTAAAATTTTCCTCTGTAAGAACTTGTCTACAGTGAAATTTCCACATGCAGAGGTCTTTATTATTCATTGTCTGAAAGCCACATCATCATTGGCTAAAACAATAAAATGTAGCTTTGGGAAAAAAGATTCAGTGAAAGGCTTCATTTATTCTTTCACTAAAGGTCTCCAGTTGGAATCATGTTTATTTCTATTAGATAGATATATTTCTACTTCTGATTAATTTGGGTGATGATTTTTATTCTTCAACATTTTAACATATTGCTGTAATATTTCCTGTTGCCTTCACTTTTTCATTTCACTATGAATGTAGGTACATTAACAAACTTTAACTCATTTAAAAGAGAAAAAGTAATTTTGCTGAGCTCATGCAGTGTTTGTTAGGATGAGTCAGTCACTTAATCTAATTGGTCCACAAGTCTCATATCATCTGTTTTCTTATCAGACATTGTGGGGAACTTTTAACATCCAGGCCCTCTTAGGGCAATGCATGAGGAGTTACCAAACATGAATTCCAGTGTCTAATTTTCTCCTTTTTTCTTGCTAGCATTAATTTATCTACAGATGATTGAAAGATTGTGAAAAACTTACCCTTTTTCAATTCTAAACAAGATTTTTGGACTAAAAAATTTAGGTAATAAACTTTTGGGGGGAGGGGGTTACCCATCTGATCAAAATTTGAAGAGCATTTTCAGGGAGTGATTTTGAAAGTGGATTTTCCTGCCCTCATTCAGAATGTCCCTAATTTACTGGCTAAATCTTCCCATCTTCACATTTACAACTGTGTACGCTTCCTGGCCCTTCTCCAATGCCTTACTTTTATAAACTTTCTATTAACTCCCCTAACTTTCTTTAGAGCCTCTGCAGAGCCCGGTAAATCTTGTGATATTAATATACTGCCTTTATTCCATTTATGGGCCCTGAGAGGGCACTGTTATACAGCAAAGACACTGAAAGCCTCACATGAAATCGTTGAAGAAGGAAGAAACTTAGACAAGGCAATTCTCTGTGTTTTAGTTTTCTCATTTATACAATACTATCTCAGAGGGTTGTTGTGAATTAATGTGTGCAAAGGAGTTTTGAAAATAAAAATGAGGGACAGTGTTAAGATACTACTTTTTTTCTTTTTGTACATGAATGTGCTTCTAGTTCACAGTTATAATCTTCTGTGTGAAGATGAAAGGCTAAGTGATACCAGAGAGCGATGGATACCATTAGGTGATGATGAGCTTTCAGGATTTTAGATTTTAAACAGAGTATTAAATAATTTCACAGGATGTACTTAGCGTCAAACTTGAATTTGAATCTCGACTTTGACTATTGCTGGACTAGCTTTGTTATGTGGAGTAAATTACTTAAATTATTTTACTTCTTAGTCTAGGTTTATCTGTAGAACAGGGATGAGGCGCAATCTTTGCAGGATTGAAAGAGAGAAAGCTCGTACTATATAAATGGGGAAGCATGTTACAGAGACTTGGGCTGAAATGTCACTACCTTCGCTCTGTCCTGTTCACAGTATTTTCATCCTAATGATAAAAGAGTCGTAATCAAATACAGTATGCGCTGGAGCCTGGGTGTATTTGTTCAAAAAAGTTATCAATAAAGTTTTGAAAAAAAAATCAACTCGTTCTATTTCAATAAAGCCTTGCTCAAATTGGCAGCAAATATCTTATCGCGAGAAACTGGCGGATTGCGATTCTTGCGCGAGAGTTGTTCTCGCGTTGTTTTTCGATCAAGCAGTGACGAGAGGTGAAAGAGAAGCCTAAATACCGCGAGAACCGAGTATGTTCTCGCGGTATTTGCGGAGATTGCCCCCTCCCCCCCCTTCCCCAAGTGCCGTTTCGGTTTAACCTAGTGTGAGACTGAGTCTGTGTGAGGGAGCGAGTGTGTGAGCTATTGAGGTGAGGCCGTGGCTAGAAAAGGGGCTCCCTCAGGAGCGAGGGACAAAGGGTGCCTGAGGCACCTAGGCTGCGGGACCCCGCGACAGGAAGCCGCCCCGAGCCGGGCTACCGGGTAGGGGAAGGGCCCGCGCAGTCCTCACAGGGCCCCAGAGCCAGAGTCGGGCCCCACAGCCCCGGGCGGTCGGCTTCCTACTTCCTCGATCTCCCCGACGCCGGGGCCTGAGGATTGGCTCGGCGGCGGAGGAAGCCAACAGACTTGAGCAGCTACCCGTTGTCTCGCAACTCCACTGCTGAGGAACTCTCATTTCTTGCCTGGCTCCTTCACCCCCACCTCATGTAGGAGGGTGCTGAGGAGTCGGGAGGGAGGAGGAGCCTGGGCTACCGTCCCTTCCCTCCCCACCCCCTTCTAGGGGCGCTTTGGTAGGCGTGGGGTTGGGTTGGGGGGGGTGGGTGGGGGTTACTTTTTGGAGTGCTGGGGAACTTTTTCCCCTTTTTGAGGCCAGAGGAAAGGGAATGCCCAATCCAGAGAGACATGGGGGCAAGAAGGACGGGAGTGGAGGAGCTTCTGGAACTTTGCAGCCGTCATCGGGAGGTGGCAGCTCTAACAGCAGGGAGCGTCACCGGTTGGTATCGAAGCATAAGCGGCATAAGTCCAAGCACTCCAAAGACATGGGATTGATGACTCCCGAAGCCGCACCTTTGGGTACAGTTATCAAACCTTTGGTGGAGTACGATGACATCAGCTCTGATTCCGATACCTTCTCTGACGACATGGCCTTCAAGTTAGACAGGAGGGAGAATGACGAACGCCGTGGAACTGACCGGAGTGACCGCCTGCACAAACATCGTCACCACCAGCACCGACGGTCCCGGGACTTACTAAAAACTAAGCAGACCGAGAAGGAAAAAATCCAGGAAGTCTCCAGCAAGTCGGGATCGATGAAGGACCGGATATCAGGAAGTTCCAAGCGTTCCAATGAGGAGAACGATGACTATGGGAAGGCACAGATCTCCAAAAGCAGCAGCAACAAGGAATCCAGGTCCTCCAAACTGCATAAGGAGAAGGCCCGAAAGGAACGGGAGGTGAAGTCTGGGCACAAAGACCGGAGTAAAAGTCATCGGAAAAGGGAAACACCCAAAAGTTACAAAACCGTGGACAGCCCCAAACGGAGATCCAGGAGCCCCCACAGGAAGTGGTCTGACAGCCCCAAGCAAGATGATAGCCCCTCTGGAGCGTCTTACGGCCAAGATTATGACCTCAGCCCCCCACGATCTCACACCTCCAGCAATTACGACTCTTACAAGAAAAGCCCCGGGAGCACCTCCAGGAGGCAGTCGGTTAGCCCTCCGTACAAGGAGCCTTCCGCCTACCAGTCCGGCGCCCGCTCGCCCAGCCCTTACAGCAGGCGGCAGAGGTCGGTGAGCCCCTACAGTCGGCGGCGGTCGTCCAGCTACGAAAGGAGCGGCTCGTACAGTGGCCGGTCGCCCAGCCCCTACGGCCGACGGCGCTCCAGCAGCCCTTTCCTGAGCAAACGGTCTCTGAGTCGGAGCCCGCTCCCCAGGTGAGCCTTTGCCAAAAGGGCTTTTCTCAGGGCGGGTTGTGGGGAGCTGGCTGTTGGTCACGGTAACCTTTTGTGGACACCACCCCACCCCGCGCGGCCCCTTTGGCTGGAACACTTAGTGGCTAGTCATTCAGGTAGGCGAGTCAGCTCTGCGCCCCGAATTGGAGAAGCGGCGAGTTCACAGGCCTAAAGCTGCTAAAGGTAGGTTCTTCACAGAGCTGGGCCCTCCTTTGTAGCGCCAGTGACAAGAAACGGGTTCCGGTTGTCAGAGCTTGTCTGGCCTTTGCTGCTTTGTTTTCAATTTTTAAAAATCACCTTGGGATTCTTTAGATTTCAATGGCCCTAATTGGAGCTGAGGGGAATTTCAGATTTTCAGTTGTATCTTAACGGCTACTTGCCCAAGTCACATACCAGTTATGCTGTCCACTCTAAATTTCTAAGCTGAGTTTGTAATTGATAGTGAGACTTTGAACTGATATTGCTAATGGAAATTTAACTGACTCTTTTTTTCCCTTTTGATGCAGAAATTGGTTCCAAGGGTAATTGGGTTTTCCTAACAGCATTGCCACTGGCCTGCCCTATGAGTACTGCAGTTTTCAGACTTTTTCTCTAAAAATTAAATGGCAATAGTTCGTTCATGGTGATATTTTTGCAAGAAAGCTACATTAGTTGTTAAGAGTTAAATTAACTACAGAAGACTGTTCCTGTTTCTGGGTGATGAGATAAATATACCCCTCTCTGTCCACAAAAGCAGAAGATGGCTTTGGGGTTATACCTGAGTGGAATTCTAATTTTGCTTTATGACTTTGGCAAAAAATTTAATTTGTCCACGCCTGAGTTTCTTCATGTGTAAAGTAAGAATAATAGCTGTCTACTTCTAGAGTTGTGAGGATTAATAAGCGAATATGACTGGCATAGCACAGAGACTGACACCTGGAGCCTGTTCATAAATTCTGAGTGAGGAAAATGTTGTTAAACTGAGGTAGAGAAATTATGTTAATTTGAAAAAAATCCATCCATGTCTTTTATATGTCATGTGAATAACTTTCTTACTTAATAAATCTGTGAACTATTTTAAATTCATCAGGCTTCAGCTTTCTAGATGTGAAGAGTCTGAAGCTCTTTAGTCTTCCCTCTCCACCTCTGTCCCATTTTATTATAATTTTTCAAGCTTAGAAAAGGTAAAAAGAATTACAATGAAGATCCATGTATGTACCATATAGATTCTGACAGTTAATATTTGCAATTTATTTTAAATCCATCTCTTCGTTAGTCCATCTTTTGAGTCAGGTCAGAGCCAGTTGCAGACATCAGTATACTTCATTCACTATAAACACTTAAACATGTATACCATTAGCTAGAGTTTAAATTTTTCCAGAGGTGTGAGGGGTAAAATATAGTCAATGAAACATTCTAAGTGTGCCATTAGTAAAGTTCCTTAGTTTTTAAAAAGAAACCTAAGAAAATGTTCTTAGAAAATTTGTTTATTGAGGAACTAGCTATACTGAGGCTATTCTGAAAATTTTTGCTGTTGTGGGGGTTTGGGAGTTTCAGTAAGGACTGCTGTGTTTCATGATTCCTTTTGGGTTCTTATCTCAAGTTCTCTCTTCCTGTACTCATTTAATTGGTGCCAGAGCAGTAATGGTGAAAATAAATCATGAAATAATTGGAGACCCAGTATGTTGGTATAAAGCACAATGTAAACACTGCATAATCTCAGATTCATATGCACATTTTTCATTGACTTATAGAAAGCATTATATGTTTGTATTATACATGACAGATTTTCCTTCATTTATTGGAATTGTAAACAAACAGTAAGTACAGTTTCTTAGAGTCAGAGTAGAGAAACATAGATCCCTTCTGTGGTATTCTGTTTTTCCTTGGGAAATACAAAAATTAAATAAGCAACATTGTTTTAAAAGATTGAAAATGCTTTAGCATCCACCAAATTATTAGTGATTAGTAGCAATTTCATTTCAAATGTGTAGAGCCAAACCAGGAGAAAAATACATGTTATTGTAGAAAAATGTTTTATTTGTACCTATTTTCTATTTGCTGTTGCCTCTCCCTCTTTTGCCTTCTTTCCTTGAACAGTGGATCTGGACCTCAAATGTAATATTTCTGAGGTAAAAATGCCATGAGCATATGGCCATCCAAATGTCCTTATTAACGGTAATCTTCTGTTCAGAAATTAAAGGATTTGTAACAGAGTTCCTTAGGAAGATTTAGTCATGCCGAAAGATTGCAGAACAATGGTTTATAGAAAATGGCTCCTGACATTACTTAGTGTTTGGGATTTTAGAAATTTTTCCTGGGATAGGATGTTTATTTTATCCCAGCTGTAATTCAGTCAAGAAAAACAAAAAGCAAACCCAGCAACCTTGTTAAAGTTATTGTTTACAAGAGAAGTTTTAACTCCCTTAAAGGTAAGTAGATGGTAAATGTATATAGCTATATCAATATTTTATTTCTTTGTATTCATATATACATGTTATTTTAAGTTTACTTGAGTCCAGTATTAACTTAAATGACTTTAATATAACCTCTTTTTTTTATTTTTGAGGAAACTTTCAAAAAATAGTAGAGGTATAAGTAAGTCATAACTACCATAATGTGAATTGTTTCTCCCATACATCCTTACTATTCGTTTTTGAACATTTCTATTCATTTCAGTCTTACTACTCACTCATTAAAGATAGAGGGAGATACTATTGGAGATGTAGAATGTGAACAGTTTGTTTTACTCTACTGGGAAAATTATGTTTTTATTAGTCATTTTTTAATGTTACTTTTTTCCTTACACTGAGACCTGAACTTCTTTGTTTTTATTAATAAATAAAAATAATCAATGAGGCTTAGGTTTCAATTTGGAATAATCTGTCTGATAGACTCCCAGTCTTCACTTCCCCAGTGCTTCCCTTACTAATAAATTGAACATACAGCAGTACCTTGCTTTATGAATTCCTAAAAAGTGTATTGGAAATCATTTTATAGTGAAAGCGCTAAAAGCCATCATATTTTTGAGGAATTTTAATTATTATGATATTTTCTTCAGTTTATTTTATGAGTCTTGTATTTTAGGTGTTACCCTAGTATAGGTATAACTTAGTAATAAACCAAAGAACAAAATCTTTCCCCAAGATCTGTCTAGTAAGTAGTTCTCTAGTTAAAAAATTTAGATTTTGGTGAAGCTTGCTAGTTACTTTTAACTTCTTGATTGCTGTAATTCATTTTCAGTGTAAAGTGTGGCTATATTTTCCCTTGGTCAGAGATAAAACAAAGCTTTAAAAGTAATCATGGGCCCTCCCTGGTGTTGCAGCTGGTTAAATCACAGTACTACCAAGCTAGCCAAAGCCACTTCAGCATGAGTTCAACCCTCAGCCAGGGAGCTCATCCACATTGCATAGCAGACTTCAGTCTGACCCTCTGCTCCCCTCAGCCATGTACCTGTTCTGCTCCCCACTCTACCACTGGTGAATCCTCTCACTGCCCCTGCACTTCTGGCCTATACCCCAGTTCTGTATGCGTAAATGAACAAATCTTTAAAAAAATAAATAAAAGTAATCATTACAAATATGAGTTTTACCATTGTGGGGGGAAAAAACATCAATCTGTCTTCCCTCAGTTGAAAAGTAGTGGAGAGTATTTTTAGTGTTACGTGATTCAAATATGTTTGTCAAGATTTAGTTCCATTTCAAATATATTAAAATTTTTTTGCAGTTTTAGGTTTATAGAAAATTTGTGAAGACTACCTCTGCATGTTTTTGCATCCAGTTTCCTTTTTCATTAACATCTTATTTTAATATGGTATATATTATCATTAATGAATCAATATGGTACATATTATCTGATAGTACCTAATCTATTTCTAAGATTGCTAAATTAGTCAAAAAGTTTTTTTAAGTTGACAGTTCTCCATCCATTTGTTATTGTTTTTGTTTCGTTTTTTTTTTTTCACTGTTGCCTGCATTTATCTACTTTTTCTTTTTCCAGTAGGAAATCCATGAAGTCTAGGAGTAGAAGTCCAGCATATTCAAGACACTCATCTTCTCATAGTAAAAAGAAGCGATCCGGGTCACGCAGTCGACATTCCAGTATCTCACCTGTCAGGCTTCCATTGAACTCCAGCTTGGGAGCTGAACTCAGTAGAAAAAAGAAGGAAAGAGCGGCAGCTGCTGCAGCAGCAAAAATGGATGGAAGAGAATCCAAGGGGTCACCTATATTTTTGCCTAGAAAAGAGAACAGTTCAGTAGAGGCTAAGGATTTAGGCTCCGAGTATAAAAAGTTCTCCAGAGGTATCAAATTGGAGAAATCTGCCCCAGATACTGAACTGGTGAATGTAACACATGTAAACACAGAGGTCAAAAATTCTTTAGATGCAGGGAAAGTAAAGTTGGATGAAAACTCTGAAAAGCAACCTGTTCCTAAAGATTTGAAAGCACAGGGAACAAGAGACTCTAAACCCATATCATTGAAAGAGGAGATTGTTACTCCAAAGGAGACAGAGACATCAGAAAAGGAGATCCTGCCTCCTCTCCCCACAGTTACCTCTCCTCCACCTCCATTACCAACTACTACCCCTCCACCTCAGACACCCCCTTTGCCACCTTTGCCTCCACTACCAGCTGTCCCACAGCAACCACCTCTGCCTCCTCCCCAACCAGCATTTAGTCAGGTTCTTGTTTCTAGTACTTCAGCTTTACCCTCTTCTGCTCATCCAAGGACATCTACTCTGTCCTCTCAGGCAAATTCTCAGCCCCCTGTACAGGTTTCAGTGAAGACTCAAGTATCTGTAACCGCTGCTATTCCACACCTAAAAACTTCAACATTGCCTCCTTTACCTCTCCCACCCTTATTACCTGGAGATGATGACATGGATAGGTAAGTGTCATAGCTAACTGAAAAACCTAACCCTTTTGATCTAAGTGTAATACATTTCTGTTTTCAAATTTTGTTAAAACTGCTCTAATGCATGGCTGTTAGAATACTTTTATGACTAAGAAATGCCTTTGATGTTTGATTTTCAAAGGAAAACTCTTTAATTATGGCATTACTTGGGGAGAGAATTTGAGAGAGTTTGAGGCCTAAGAACACATTCTCTCATAAGTTTATTGATAAGACAAATTTTTATTCAGGTTTCTAAGAATCCGTATCATTTTTCCCCTAAATTTTATGTTGCAAATTATTATAGCTGTAGAAATACTGAAAGAACAGTACCCTTATACTCTTCCCCCAGAATGAACCAATTGTTAGCTTTTGCCACTTTATAGTGACCCTTTACTGCTGATTACTTTAGCATGTCTCTCCTAACAAGAATGTTTTTCTGTGTAATCACAACAGTGTCATCACCCTAAAAAATGTATCAGTTTAATAGTATTATATCACAAATAATCATCTGAAAAATTACCCTCGTTTTTTTTCCCTCTAAATCCAGGGAAAAGATTTATTTTGAAAAGTGCTGCTTTAAAGAAAAAATTACTCTATAGGAAGCAAAAGAACAATATATAGAGTCTTTGCTAATTAGGATATGAATTCACAGTGGAATGATGGGAAGAATTCTAATTTTAATGAGTCCTAAATATTGAGAATTGAAGTGATTGTGAATCATGGATCTTGACTTTATGGATGACATTAAGAAATATATTTAATTTTTTTGGCAACTAGCTAGGCAAGTTTCATTCAACAAACATGCTTTAGCAGTTACATAAGGTGGCAACCTTTGTATTTCTATTTATTTTCTATTGAGATCCTACTCTCTTGTTCTTTAGGATATGAGTTTTAATTTTATAACAGAATTTTATTGTAAGCACAGAAATCACTACCACCTATCTTTCATTCTTGATCAGTTCCCAAGCTTTCATTATAGGTGATATCAGTAATATGAATTGTGATATATTTAAGCCCTTTAGATCTTATTTTTTCCGGATTAGCCTCTGTGCATTTTAAGGTGCAATTGCACGAGATAAAATTAAAAAATATTTTGAGGTCTCCCGGTGGGGTGCAGGTTAAGTTTCAGCATTGTTACCCCTGTTGTCTGATTTAAGTCCTTGACCAGGGAACTAATCCACATATAGCACAGGAGATGTCTCCTATCTCACACATTGCTCCCCCTCAGTAGTGTACTTCAGTAATTCCACTGTTCTCTTCCCCACTCTGTCTCTGGTAAATCCACTCACCCCTCTGTACCTGGCCTACCACTAGTTCTACACACATACACATATACAAAATTTAATGGCTCCATTATTAATCAGTGGTAAATTTTGATTTTAAAGAAAAATTCCACATGGCCTAATACTAATTCATGAAATTCTACCACAGTTTGAGCATAATCATTAACAGAACTTGGCCCTCCCTGGTGGTGCAGCGGGTTAAATTGTAGCACTGCAAGCTAGCCGCAGCTGCTTCAGTGTGAGTTCCATCCCTGGTCCTGGAGGTGACCCATATGGCACAGCAGACCTCTCCTGTTTCCCCACTGCTCCCCTTACAGTGAACTTTGTTGATCTGCCTGTTCTGCTCCCCACTCTGTCTCTGGTAGATCCTCTCTGCCCCTGAACCTCTGGCCTATACCCAAGTTCTTTATGCATAAATACATACCTTTTTAAAAAGTAACAGAATTTATATATTATGTAGAAAAATTTGGAGTACATAGTATAGTTCTCACAGATAAAAACAATGAGTTTATATATTTTGTGTTGAAAAAAAGTTGATTATCTACCCAGAGAAAAATAATTTAAATATTAGTGTACATAGTGATAAGAAAAATCTGTGGCTAAAAAGATATTTGTTTTGAAATATTTATTTGGTTTACTAAATAACTATTGAATCTACCTACTGTGTGTCAGTATAGCATGCAAATTTCTAAAGGTAGAGTGGTTTTGATAAAATGTATATAGTGATTTCTGTCTTTCAGATTTGGCATAAAGGGTCAAATAAGACCATTTAATGTTGAATTATTTGTGGTTGTCCTTAAGAGTGTGTCTGAGAAGTGGCAAAACTTTTTAACGTAATTATTTTTATATTACTACTTTTAAAAAAGGTTTTTATGCATACAAGAGCTAGGGTATAGGCCAGAGGTGTGTGGGGGAGGTAAGAGGATTCACCAGAGACAGAACCGGCAGATCTACTGAAATAACACTGCTGAGGGGAGCAGCAGGTGAGACTGGAGAGGTCTGCTGTGCCATGTGGGTCACCTCCCTGCTTGGGGATTGAACTCATGCTGCAGCGGCTGTAGATTGCTTCCTAGTGCTGAACTTTAACCCCTTGTGCCACCAGGAAGCCTCCCCAATGTAATTATTTTTAAATTTATGATTATCATCAGATTTTTCCTCCACTAGTTACACAGCCTAAGTTTTTTAAAAGATTTAATTTTATTCACTCAAGAACTGAGGTACAGGCCAGAGGTGTAGGGGCTGGAGTGAGGGGGGTAGTTATTGATACGATTCGCTGGAGACAGAGTGGGGAACAGAACTGGCTGACCAGCTGAATTTCACTGCTGAGGGGAGCATTGGGTGGGACAGGAGAGGTCTACCACGCCATGTGGACCACCTCCCTGGCCAGGGACCAAACCCTTGCTGCAGCAACTGTGGATAGCCCCAAGGGAGGGCCTTGTGCCCCCAGGGAGGGCCTCACTATCAATTTTATTTTCACCATGTATTAACTTTAGTTCAAGCTCTTGTGTGTGTGTGTGTCTATCCATTTGCGAGCTTCTATTACTTACATGAAAAGTAGTTTTTACATAAGAAAAAAATTTCAAGGAGATACATTGAAATCTGCATATGGAATTCACATTTCCTTTCTGTTTTCTCATGTGAGACTGCAGCATCTTAAATTTTAAGAATGTGATTCATCTTTTTATTGTACTGCTACAGTTCTGTGATCATACCAATAGAAGAAATAATGTAGTCAGTGAATATTGGTAACTTGAATAAGTAAAACTGTTGGGAGGAGCTAGGATTGGGGCTTATGTGAAATGATAGGTAATATAGTTAAGTGAGTTGGCACAAGGATGATGTAAAGTTTAAGAGTATTTGTTTTCTTTTGGGAAAAGGATGAAATTCCTTCAACCATATATATTTAGGGGAAGAGTATATTAATTTAGGTATCAATGCAGGAGGAAACTTTACTGATGATATTACAAAACCCTTTCTGATTTGTGGTCTGCAATTTTTGGTTTCAGGTAGCAAAAGTGGGTTCACCCACAATGGTAAAACATTCTTCATGAACGTAGCTATTTGTAGGGATCTCCTGCTTTTTTTTTTTTTAATTAAAGATTTATTTGCATACAAAGCTGGGATACAGGTCAGAAGTGCAGGGGCGGTGAGAGGATTCATCAGAGACAGTGGGGAGCAGAACAGGCAGATCAACAAAGTACACTGCTGAGGGGAACAGTATTCCCATAGGGTCAGGAGAGTTCTGCTATGTCATGTGGTTCACCTTTGGAGCTGGGGATTGAACTCCCATTGAAGTTAGCTGCAGCTAACTTGCAGTGCTACACTCGCAGCAGTACACTGCTGAGGGGTGCAGCTGGCGAGACAGAAGAAGTCTGCTACCCAATGTGGGTCACCTCCCTGGCCAGATATGGAACTAGTGCTGAAGCAGCTGCAGCCACCATTGTAATGCTGTGCTTTAACCTGTTGTGCCACTAGGGGGGGCCCCCCTAGTTGAAGTATCTGTATATACCTTAAGTTAGAATCTGTGATATCCTTTAAGGCTATATCTTTTAAAGTATTGAACTTTGTATAGAAAAGAAAGGTTTTGTGTTTGATTTGATTTAGGATTTTGATTTAGGATTTTTCTAACTCATGGTTCCCATTTTTTATGCATTCAAGTCAGGTTTTTAGTTGAATCTGTTTATAAAAATAAATTACTTTTTTTTTTTTTTAAGATTTTATTTATTTGTGCATACAGAACTGGGGTACAGGCCAGAGGCTTCACCAGAGACAGAGTAGGCAACAGAACAGGCAGATGGTCAAAGTACACTGCTGAGGGGAGCAGCGGGTGGGTCAGGAGAGGTCTGCCACACCATGTGGTCACCTCCGGGGCTGGCAGGAATTGAACTCATGTGGAAGCGGCTTTAGCTTCTTAGTGCTGTGCTTTAACCTGCTGCGCCACCAGGGAGGGCCCTAGTGCTGTGCTTTAACCCACTGTGCCAGCAAGGAGGGCCAAAATAAATTACTCTTTAAGTGGAGGAGATAGATGATCAAATGGGTTATATTGTTATAATTTGAAAATTACCTAGTAAGAAATTAATTTTCTTGTTAAATAGTTCGTGTCATTTTATATTCCTTATTAACACTAAGAACTTCTTACTAGAGGTGTTTCATTGTGTCTATAAACTAAATTCCATAGGCTATAGACTATATATATTCTAAAATACGATACATCCTGTGTTTTATCTTGGTAAAATCCTTGGGCAGTCCTAGAACTTGACAGCTTTTTAAAATTATTATACATGAACATATGCAGCCACTTGTGAACTCATCTACAACTCTAAGTGAGGTATCAAAGTGTTATTGATAAACACTTTCTGATATTGAATCTTCATGTAATGACTTAAATATTCATCATGTTTCTCTGTGTTAAAATGTCTCTGCATCTACCATATGTCTCGTACTCTGTAGAGTTATAGTTTACTACTTGCACTATTTTAAAGATTAGAGGCCATAATGTTGTTAAGCATTGTAATTTTATACCCCATCATTATTTCAGGGTTTTCCATACATTGGAATTTGTTGAAACTGTTGAAACAGGATTTGACCTCTATTCAAATTGTGTGCCCTAAACTAGTAGCAATATTCTCCTCAAAACACATTCTTTCTTGTAATAAATGCAGTAAAAATGTAACTTTCCAGGGCCAATACACAGTATTTCACAGCAGCAAACTATACTGTATTTGAACCCATAAAGTAAACCCTGTATAAGACAAGACCTAAATATAAAACATTGTTTGAACTTAAATGAAATGATGGTGAGAGAATTTAGATACTTTGATTCTAGTGAAACAGACAAAATGATCCTCTGAAATTTTGTGGGGAATCTTACAGAGAAGGAGTCTATTTCTAGATCATGAGGAATTGAAATGGACATTATATAATTGAGAAATTAGGAATTTTCTTTCTCTGAATGTCTTAAAAACTGGAGAAATCTTTAAAGTTTGTGTTCATCCTGACTTGAGTTTTCTGGCAGTAGGCTTTGTTTCAGAGATAGAAAAGCTTTGGTCAAATGTGTGGTGTGTTCGTCTCTGTAAGAATCACCACAAAGTTTCAGAGGGTCATTTTGTACTCCACAGTCTGTTGGTTCTGAGTGATTTGATTGTACTTTCTGATTTACAAGAAATTAAAATGATAAAAATTAGTAAAAAGTAGTATGCTTTGAGATTTGGACATGAAGAGTAATAGTACATATATATATATATATTTTTTTTTTAAGATTTATTCTTACAGAACTGGGGTACAGGCCACAAGTATGGTGGGTTTCATCAGAGACAGAGTGGGGAGCAGAACAGGCAGATTTACTGAAATACACAGCTGAGGGGAGCAGCAGGCAGGTCAGGAAAGGTTTGGTGCTCCATGTGGGTCAGCACCCTGGCCAGGGATCAAACTGTGCTGCAGTGGTTTTGGAGAGCTTCATAATGTGGTGCTTTAACCCATTGCGCCACCAGGGAGAGCCCAGTAGTATACTTTGAAAACATACATTGCAAGAGATAGATCTGTTCTTTATTCTTCTATAATAGAAATATTCAGTCAGAGAATATATATTTTTATATATCCACTTGTCCAAAAAGTGGAGCAGACTTCTAGTGTGGGTAGAATTCCTAGATTCTTTTCAACTTTTTTATAATGTGATGTAATAGAAAGGCCTTACTGTCTAGCATGTTTTTTTCTTTTCTTTTTTTTAAAGCTGTTCATTTTTGCGTAAGAGCTGGGTTGTAGGCCAGAGGTGCGGGAGATGAGAGGATTCACCAGAGACAGTGGGAAGCAGAATAGTCATATTTACTGAAAGTGGAAAAGTGAGCGAAACAAGAGAGGTGGGTTAGATTCTGGCCAGGGATGAACTCAGGTCATCATGATGGACCAAGGCACAAGGGAGGCCCCAGTATGGTTTCATTTGTAGGTATGAGTTTTTATACTATGCTATCTCTTCAGAGACCATATAGGGCGTAAGTAAATTGAGGTGGTTAAAAAATTGGCTCTGGAAATGTGACTGTTCCAATCCAGAAGAATTATCCTTCTTTCCAACTAACTGCTGAAATTTGTTGATTATGAAAGGTGTTCAGTTTCCAGCTGTCCTCTAGTGATTCTAAAGCAGTTGCTTGGATGCTTTAGGTTTTTACTTTAAGGATTATTTTATCCATTTTGGCTAGTCATATGTGGTTCTCTTTGCTTCTAAATCAATTGAATAAAGCTATATATTCAGTAGTTTTGATTTTCAGCCTAGCTATATTTCTTATAAAACACTTTTTTTTGTAGTATAGTAGCATATAGTAATATAGTAATAAAGTAATGTTGAATTTTCATTCCTTATTTAAATCTTTGCAGGTTATAAAATATAGAGTAGATATCGTGAACTACAGCGAGTTGTGGTAATACTTTGTGAATTTAAGATGATGGCTTCCTGTATTTTATTTCATCTCAATAAAAATACAAGTAGATCCTTAGGAAGGACATTAGAGAACCTGTTGTTGCAGGAGCTATAAATAATAGCCCAAAGTTTTAATTATCTCTTTATTATACTGTAGATTTCTTTTTGTAAAGTCCAAGTATGTTTAACTGGAAATATACTCTATTTCCTTGAGTGTTAAAAGCTTTTCTTCTCTTAAATCTTTGTAATTCTGTAATGAACAGACAATAGAAATACCCCTTTTACCACTACTGGGAGATAATACTTACAGTAAGATTTTAGTAGAGACCACATTCACAAAACGTTTATATATAAAAGTTCTTGATTATTAATGTCCTTTACTGTGGGTACATACTTATAGGAGAACACATAGCATATATAAGGTTCAGTACTCTCTGCAATTTCAGGCATTTGTTGGGGGGCTTGGAATAGTGATCTACTATATTATAGAGTGGTCTACTATATATGCTTTTTTTTTTTAAAGATTTATTTATTCGTACAGAACTGGGGTACAGGCCAGAGATGCGGAGGGTGAGAGGATTCACCAGAGACAGAGTGGGGAGCAGAACAGGCAGATCGATGAAGTATACTGCTGAGGGGAGCAGCGGGCGGGTCAGGAGAGGTCTGCCACGCCATGTGGATCTCCTGTGGGGCAGGCGGGAATCGAACTCATGTGGAAGTGGCTTAAGCTTCTTTGTGCTGTGCTTTAACCCGCTGTGCCACCAGGGAGGGCCCGCTTTTAAAAGTTTTATTTGCATATTCTGTAAGTAACTGTGATCTTTCTTTTCTTCTCTATTGTTTAGTCCAAGAGAAACTCTTCCTTCAAAACCTATAAAGAAAGAGAAGGAACAAAGGACACGTCACTTACTCACAGACCTCCCTCTCCCTCCTGAGCTCCCTGGTGGGGATCCGTCTCCCCCAGAATCTCCAGAACCAAAGTCAAGCACACCACCTCAGCATCCATATAAAAAGAGACCAAAGTGAGTTTTTGGAGTGACCTGTTCTTAATTAGAGCTTCCTTCCTTTCTTCCTTTTTTTCTTTTTTTAAAGATTTATTTATACATACAGAACTGGAGTACAGGCCAGAGGTGTAGGGGCAGTGAGAGGATTCACCAGAGACAGAGTGGGGAACAGAACAGGCAGAGCAAGGAAGTACACTGCTGAGGGAAACAGTGGGCGGGTCAGGAGAGGTCTGCCATACCATGTGGTTCACCTCCGGGGCCAGGGATCGAACTAACACTGAAACAGCTGCAGCTACTTTAAGTGGTGCACTATAATCCCGGGAGGGCCAGAGCTTCCTTTCTTTTACCTTTGGTCCTAAGTCTCAGACTTTCTTCCATAACCCATACCAGTAGGATCATAGAAACTTGGGCCTTATATATATCTTTCATGTTAATGGATAAAAACCTTTCTGGGAGACCTGTTCATCTGCATAAGCAGAATTTATTTAAATTTTTAATATGATTTATTTTTATTCATTTATGCATACTAGAACTGGGGTGTAGACCAGGAGTGCTGGGATAGTAGGGTGGGTGAGGATTCATCAGAGATAGAATGGGGTGTAGAACAGGCAAACCTACGAAATATATTGTGGAGGGGAGCAGAGGGCAAGACAGGAGAGGTTTGCTGTGCCATGTGGTCAGCTCCTTGGCTGGAGATTGAATTCAGGCCACAGTGACTGGCAATAGCTTGATAGCACTGAGATTTTAACCCCTGTACCACCAGGGAGATCCTGCATAAGCAGACTTTAGATACCGAAGTGTGTTTTTCAGGAAAGCAAAAATCTTCCAAAACCAAATATACCATGAGCACTTGACTCCTTCATAGTAGTTTGTAGTTCATAGTAGAACATTAGAGAAGAAAATATTCAGAATGTGTCAATCATGGATATAATATGAAATATACATAATATATCAGTAAATGAAAAATTAATAGATGTGGAATTTTTTTTGCCCTTGAACTACCTAAGTTTGGTTTAATCTTTTTGTGTTGTTAGCATTCTTCTCAGTTATAAAATATTTTTTATCATGTTTTATTCCCATATATTTATATTTTATTTTCATAGTAGCCTATGATGTAGAGATTCTTTCATCCCAATTCATAGTTGAGGGAGCCAACGCTAAGTATAAGTCAGAAAGTAAGTAGCAGATCTCTTATTTGATCTTATTTCTTCCTGAAGACAAAAACCCATGTTTTAGTGAGAAATGGTCTCTTCATATCATTTGATTCCTGCCTTTTTTTTTTTTTTTTTTAAAGATGTATGTATTCATTTATTTGTGCATACAGAACTGAGGTACAGGCCAGAGGTGCAGGGTCAGTGAGAGGATTCACCACAGACGAGTTGGGAGCAGATCAACAAAGTCCACTGCTGAGGGGAGCAGGAGCGGGTCAGGAGAGGTCTGCCTCCGGGGTGGAGATCAAACTCATACTGAAGTGGCTTTAGCTTCTTACTGCTGTGTTTTTACCTACTGCGCCACCAGGGAGGGCCCGATTCCTGTCTTTTTAATAAATACAGACATAAAAGATTCAAGTGCCAGAGAAGCCATCATAAAAGAATTCTCTTTTCTTCTTTAAATATAATTAATTTTTTAAAATAATTTTATAAATTTTATTTTTGTTTTGCCTCTTAGAATTTGCTGTCCTCGTTATGGAGAAAGAAGACAAACAGAAAGCGACTGGGGAAAACGTTGTGTAGACAAGTTTGACATTATTGGGATTATCGGAGAGGGAACCTATGGCCAAGTATATAAAGCCAAGGACAAAGATACAGGTAAATACTGTTTAAAATTCACTATGTCAGAATATAAAAATTTAACAATGCAAATAATATCTTAAGTAGATTTAACAAAAGTAAATTTTGAGTTTTAATTCTGTCTCCAGAAGTTGCTAAATAGACTAAAGTGTTCAAAAAGCACAGTATAATTGTTTTATTATTATTAATTTTTCAAGATTTTATTTAATTTCCTGTAGAAAAACTGGGATGCAGGCCAGACGTGCTGGGGAGGTGGGTTTAGAGGATTCACCAGAGAGTAGGGAGCAAACTGGGAGGATCTACTGAAATACAGTGCTGAGGGGAGCAGCAGGTGAGACAGGAGAGGTCTGCTGTGCCATGTGGATGGTGGGCCTTTGTAGTGGTAACGCTAAGACTTAATCCCTAGGCCACTGAGAAGACCCTTTTCTGTTTTTTGTTGTTGTGCATGGTACATATTTCATGACTACTTGCTGGAAATCTAAGAAAAGAAAAAAATTTCTAAGTTCCTCTTTGCTTAATAGAGGGGGTTTATCTTAAAGATAAAATGAAGTAGTTGAATTATTGGTATATTTTTTTCCCCTTCCTTTCCCCATTTATTGCTATATTTTATTTAAAAGATTTATTTATTTATGCATACAGGATCTGGGGTGCAGGCCAGAAGTGTGGGTAGTCAGAGGCTTCATCAGAGACAGAATAGGGAGCACAACAGATGAACTGACTGAAAAACACTGCTGACGGGAGCACCGGCTGAGGCAGGAGAGGTTTGCTGCACCATGTGGGTCACCTCCCTGGCTGGGGACTGAACTCGTGCTGCAGTGGCTGCTTATAGCTGTATAGTGCTGAGACTTAGCTCCTTGCACCACAAGGGAGGCCCCAGGCCTGATTGAATTTGAATTGAAATTTTCATCTTAAGAGCAAAGATAAAGAGAACATAGTATTTTTTTTTTTAAAGATTTATTTATCTATTCATACAGAACTGGGGTGCAGGCTAGACGTGCAGGAGTGGTGAGAGGATTCACTAGAGACAGTGGGGAGCAGAACAGGCCAACTGATGAAGTATACTGCTGAGGGGAGCAGTGGACGGGTCAGGAGAGGTCTGCCACACCATGTGGTCACCTCTGGGGCTGGGGATCAAACTCATGCTGAAGTGACTTTAGCTTCTTAGTGCTGTGCTTTAACCTGCTGTGCCACCAGGGAGGGCCCCATAGTATTTTTTTTTAAGAGAGTTATGTGGTATATCATTAAATTAGGCAATAAATTTGCTTTTAGAGCTTGGTTCATAATGGTCGCTAAAAAATGCTAATTGATACTAATAATTGCTTGAATTTGTTGTGATAGGTGAGCTAGTAGCCCTGAAGAAGGTGAGGTTGGACAATGAGAAAGAGGGCTTTCCAATCACAGCCATTCGTGAGATAAAAATCCTGCGTCAGCTGATCCATCGAAGTGTAGTCAACATGAAGGAAATTGTCACCGATAAACAAGATGCTCTGGATTTCAAGAAGGACAAAGGTACTGGCAAAGAACCACCTTTCTATAGGATAGATTGGTACATCTTCACTTTCTTTCTTTCTTTCTTTCCTTGTTTGCCTGTTTGAAATGGTTAGCAGTTCATGCTAAAATCAGCTTCTTTCATTAATTCATAGCAGAATTATAAAATTGACAGATTGCTGAACAATGTATGTTTTATAGAATACCCACTCTCTATCAGTGTACTTTAGAAGTCATTAAGAGTGTGCTAGCACCTAATAATGTAGGCTTATAAGTAGCAAAAGGTCCTCTCTGAATATTTTTGTCCATTTTTTAACAAATTTTAGCAAAAATAATGGAATTTAAAACCTACACCAGTTATTCTTATTTTTACATTATCATATCTGTTTTTTTCATAAGCATCCACGTTTTTACACAGCTTTGCACTGACAGTTTAGAATTCATAGAAGTATATATAAAATAATCTCATTCAGGTTACATAGTAGTATTCTTCCCTGGATTCATAACTTTTGCCTTAGTGGATAAAATTGTTTATGATTATGTTTGAAATAACTCATATGCCTATGATTATTACCCAGTCTACTTTTACTATAGCAAATCTGAAGGTTTTTAGATGGACATCTGTGAAGATGGCATCGGTAAATGTAGCCCTGAGTATTAACAGAGATTATGACTAATGTACACAAAGTTAGGAGGTTTATGGATAAAGTTAAGCAGTGCCTCAAAAGTTAGGACTAGGGGAATAGCCCCCTCAAGTTTCATAGGAGTAGTTTTAAAGTAAGTAAATGCTACAAAATTATTTAGATAAATTTATAAAAGGTAAGTCTGAATAGAGTTGAGAATACTAGGTATATTTCTCTGATCATAAAAATAATAAAATGTATAGCTAGGTTCTGTACAGAGGCACAAGAAAATGATAATTGGTTGCTCATGGTGAGGGGTGTATTTCTCTTTTTTTAAGATTTATGTATGTGGACCCTCTCTGGTGGCACAGCAGGTTAGGACATAGCACTGCAAACTGGCCACAGCTGCTTCCGTGCAAGTTCAATCCTGGCCCCAGAGGTGACCCACATGGCGCGGCAGACCTCTCCTCGCCCACCCACTGCTCCTCTTAGCAGTATACTTCATCGGTCTGTCTGTTCTGGTCCCCATTCTCACCACCTCTTACCACCCCTGCACCTCTGGCTTGTTACCCCAGTTCTGTATGAATAAATAAGTAAATCTTTAAAAAAAAAAAAAAAAGATATATGTATGCATAGGAGAGCTTGGGTATAGGCCAGAGGTGCAGGGGTGAGAGGATTCACCAGAGACAGAATGAGGAGCAGAACAGGCTGATCTACTGAAATACACTCCTTAGGGCAGCAGCAGGTAAGACAGGAAAAGTCTGCTGTGTCATGTGGGTCAGCCCCATGGCCAGGGTTTTAACTCATGCCATTGATTGCTTGATAGCTCTGAGTCTTAACCCCTTGTGTAACAGGGAGACCAGTAGGGGCTTTATTTTTAATTTATGCCATTTTCTACTATTTAAATAATTTATTATGCAGTGTTAAAGTTTTTTTTTAATTAAAAAAAGTAATATAACTGAATGTGGTACATTCCCATTGTAAAAAGTATAAAAGAGCTAGAAAAGGAAAAATAGCAGTTATTCTCTCCACTGTAGTCTATGCACTCCATTCTCTCCACTTCATTACACCATCACCCACAGAAAGCGACAATGCTACTAGCATTTTGCCTTTTTTCCCCCTAGTATTTTATACCATACATATTATATTTCTTTTGCCATAACCAAGATCACAGTATATTTGACGTTTCATAACTTGTCATAAGCAATTCCCCATACATTGTTAATGACAGTGTTCAAAGATAGATAAATCCAAATTTACTTCATTAGTCCCTGTTCAGCAAATACTTGCCAGCTTAAAAAAATATATAGTAGTATATCGAACAATTTTGTGCATAAATATTTGCATTTATTTACTTAGTGTTTATTTGCTTAGTATACTTTTTTAAGAAATCTACTTATTTATGCATACAAGAACTGGAGTGTAGATCAGAGGTGAGAGGATTCACCGGAGACAGAATGGGGAGCAGGAAAGGCAGATTTACTGAAGTACACTGCTGAGGGGAGCAGTGGGGGAGACAGGAGATGTCTGCTGTGTCATGTGGGTCACCTCCCTTGCCAGGGATCTAACTCATGCTGCAGTGGCTTGTTGTAGCTCGATAGCGCTGAGACAAGCCTGTGCCACCCAAGAGACCCATTTAGTGTATTTTCTTACAACTAGAATTATTTTCCCAAAGGTATTTTCATGTTTCATGTTGGGTTCTTTTAAGAAAGAAACAATTTATGTTATATCAGTGAGTTCCTATTCTACTATACCAATTTTAATAATTGAGTATGTCTTTTTAAAAAGTTGAGGTTTTTTTTTTTTTTTTGCTTTATATCAAGGTAACATTAGTTTAGAACATTGCCTAAGTACCTTAATTACAGTTTCTCTCAACATGTCCTATCTCCATTAAAAGTTGCCTTGGGGCCCTCCCTGGTGGTGCAGCGGGTTAAAGCACTGCACTAAGAAGCTTAAGCCACTTCCTCATGAGTTCGATTCCCGCCTGCCTCGGAGGTGACCACGTGGCGTGGCAGACCTCTCCTGACCCGCCTGCTGCTCCCCTCAGCAGTGTACTTCGTAGATCTGCCTGTTCTGCTCCCCGCTCTGTCTCTGGTGAAGCCTCTCACCCTCTGCATCTCTGGCCTATACCCCAGTTCTGTATGAATAAATAAATAAATCTTTAAAAAAAAAAAAAGTTGCCTTGGTTGGTGAAGTATGGTATTATTTTGGATTGCATTCCATATACTAATTCTTAGTAGTTTTTTCATGTACATCAATTTTATTTATATTCTGTTACTTTTATTAAAATATGTTGATGTACATTATTTTAATTTCAGGTACACAAAATAATGATTTGATCTTTGTATACATTGCCAAATAATGGTCCCAGTTGGTCTTTTTGTCATCTCAGCAGTTATCACATTTGTAATACCACAGTATTGCTTATTACACAATACATTGCCTTGATTGATTTATTTTGTAACAGGAAGTGTATTGCCTTAATGTCCATTTTGCCCACACTCTTACCATCTACCCTTCTCATAATCTCCAGTCTATTTTCTGTTGCTATAATTTTAATTTTGTTTTGTTTTATTGTCCTTTTACCCTCTGCCCACTTTGGTGGTTTTGGTTTTTTATAGATCCACTCAAAAAAATGTTTAAAATGTTGCATGCTATTTCAGAGAATTCAAAGGTTCCTTGAAATTTACCTTCCTAGGTTAAGAATTCTTTCCTTGGAATAGAGTGGACTTTGGTAGAAGACTATGATGTTTCAGTGGTGTTTGACTACTCCTGTGGTGGTTGGGGTGAAGGGGGCTATAAAAAGAATTCTTGCCCTTTTGCTAGGAGGAGACAGAATTTTAGACTGACCAGTTATTGTTCAGGTCTAGTATTTGTGCAGTGTTTGCCTCTGTCATGTACCCTGTTGAAAGTAATAGTGTAGACTTCAAATCTTTTATAAATCTCTTGTGTACTACTTGTTTATTTTATCCAGTTCTAACTTTAGGGAATTTTGCTAATGATTTATACGATGTATAATATTTATCATGCTGTATACTGTTAAGATTTCTACAAAAGTCATCATAGATAATATCAACAAATGGGTATGGTTGTGTATTACAAATAAAATTGTATTTACAGTAAGAGACACAGATTTGGTAAAAGGTCTACAATTTGCCAGTTAACATCATAAAAGACTACATTTGTAACCTGATTGGGCCTACCACCAACAATATGTAAGCTATTCAAAAAGTATTGATCTGGGATCTGGGACATTAATTCAAATGGTAGTTCTCTTGTTTATTTTTAGAAAGGGCAAATTATTAAATAACTCTTAGTTTCATTATTTTATTTGTAAAATTAAATGTTTATTCCAGAGAGGTTTATGGTCAATTCCAAAATTACATAAAAATTTGAGGTGTTGTCATTTCAACACTCTTTTTCTTTTAATTTTAATTTTTTCTTTTGTCTATGTAGGTGCCTTTTACCTTGTATTTGAGTATATGGATCATGACCTCATGGGACTGCTAGAATCTGGTTTAGTTCACTTTTCTGAGGACCATATCAAATCTTTCATGAAACAGCTAATGGAAGGATTGGATTACTGTCACAAAAAGAATTTCCTGCATCGGGATATTAAATGTTCCAACATTTTGCTGAACAACAGGTAACATAGTAATCAAATGAAATTAAACATTTTCTCCCTTTCCTTATTCCCTTAGTTTTTAGCTTTTATATCTGTCTGGTATTTGCATCTTAGAAACAATTTTTTTTTTAAGATTTATTTATTTGTGCAAACAGAACTGGGGTACAGGCCAGAGGTGCAGGGGTGGTGAGAGGATTCATCAGAGACAGAGTGGGGAGAAGAACAGGCAGATCATCGAAGTACACTGCTGAGGGGAGCAGTGGGTGGGTCAGGAGAGGTCTGCTGTGCCATGTGGGCCACCTCCGGGGCAGGTGAGGATTGAACTCAGGTGGAAGTGTCTTTAGCTTCTTAGTGCTGTGCTTTAACCCGCTGCGCCACCAAGGAGGGCCCAGAAACAGTTTTTAATAGGATTCTCTGATTAGCAGAGTCTACAGACTTGTTGCTAAGGAATTAATAGAGGTAGGATCATAAAGGGATTTTTAATTGCAAACATTTTGGGGAATATATACAAGAACTTTTAACCATAGTTTGTAGATAATATTGTGGTCCTCGACAGTTCACACACACATTGAGGTTATTAGAGAGAAACACATCTGTTCTTTGGCTGCTCTTAAAATGTTCTCACTTTTCTCAGTCACTGCATTTCAGAATAAACACAGATGTAAATGGTAATTGACCTTTCTGCCCATCACTTACACCCCAGGTTTCAATAGTATAGATAAGAATTTGGTGATAAATGGTGTCAGTTCTTCAGAAGTTTTTATCAGCTGCTTTCTCCTCTTTGGCTCCTTGCCCGTGTACACCGATGACATCAGATACATTATGCATATTAATCTTATTATTAATAATAGTCTTAACAGTTGAATAAAAATCAAGTCTGCAACGATATGAGGCTATTGTTTATAGTTCTTTGGGTAATTGGTCTGTCGACAGCCATCTTGGCCTGATTCACCCATTATTTCAAACTTTTTTTTCCATTTACCCATATAAGAGCTGGGGTATAGGTCAGAGGTGTGGGGCAGAAGGGTGGGGGTATGAGAGGATTCACCAGAGAGACTAGGAAGCAGAACAGGCAGATTGAGTGAAATAGACTACTGGGCGAAACAGTGCAAAAGATAGCAGAGGTCTGCTGTGCCATGAGGGTTAGCTCCCTGGTAAGGATTCTGAGGATCGAGCTTGTGCTGCAGTAGATGCCAGTAGCTTCATAGTGCTTAGACTTTATAACCCCTTGCACCACCAGGGAGACCCAGACATTTAATTTCTTTTAAACAAATATTATACAGATAGGAATATGGAATATTATAAAGCATTTCTGTTTGTGGAATAGAGTGGCCAATTAATAAGGGTTGCCTGAGATAATCCTGCACTAGAAGTCCTATGTGGGATGGTTGGTCACTGGAGAGCTCAGAGTAGACTAAGAGAGCTAAACAAATAAGTTGTTTAATTCAGTAAACACATATTAAGCCCACATTTTTTGTTGAATTTGGAAGCACCTAGGGAGATAGAGTTTTGAAAAATCAGTAGGAATTTATCAAAAGACTGATAAAAGGAGTGACTAGGCAAAAGAAATTGCATACACAGAAACACATAAGTGTAAAAATCTAACATGTCTGGCAAATTAAACAGGTTTGTATTACTAGGACAAGAAGAATTTTGCACATAATAAGATGAAACTGGATAGTTGCAAGGAATGATTTAAGTAGCTGTGTGTCTTGCCAAGGAGCTTAAATTTTATCCATAGGTATAGCCATTGAAGAGTGCTGGAGTGATTTTGTTTGTTTATGCAGATATATATCTGTATATGTAAACACAAACACACACACTCTTGTGTGTATTTAAATAACTTTATGGAATGCAGCATGATATTAACAGAATATTCCTTTCTGTCACTATGGCTGTGATGCATAGGCCATATAGCTGGGCGTGGTTAATTTGTATCCATAGTGATAATGCTTAATGAAGTTAGTGTTGATTGCTGTCAGCTTGCAACTTTCTCAACTGGAGTATTAATATACTTTGTGTTCTTTTTCCTCCTCCATGGAGGGTGTCTCATGTCAGGGATTAACTGCAGTTCCATTCTTATCCTTTCTGGTGGATCAGATCTTTCCCTGTCTCTGACTTTAGGAAATTGATGTGGTTCTAGACTAAATGGAACTTCCTCCTCAGATTCCTTAGCAGAATGCAGGGGTCTCATGTTCTAGTCTGAAATCCATCTTCTGTTTTTGCACATTAGCTTTGTCTGCACAGAAAACTCTGGGTTACGTGGCTTGAAGAGAATGACAATGATAAGAGAATGATAAGGAGTTCTCAGCTGGTTGAGGAAGAGAAAATAGTTCATAAGAGAGAGAGAATAGTGTGACTGGGCTCCTTGCTGTTTCTTTAAGAACAAATATAAATGACACCATATAATTTTAGATAGAGGAGAGACATAATTAATCTTCTGTTTTGGGAAAGTCACTAAGTGATCATTATTTGGAGTATACATTAGGGTTAGGGAGACCTTTTAAGAACAGCCAAAGAAATGGACAGTGCTTGAACTAACTTAAAGCATTGCCAGTAGAGATGGACAGGATGGACTCAGTAGATCACTAGACTTTGACCAGCAAGTAAATGGTAGGGAATTAGTGAAAATACTTAAGATAACTCATGGATTTCTGACATCAGAAACTTAACTAGAAAGGTGGCAGAGTAGTCAATACAGGAAATACAGAAGGAAGACCAGAGTGTGTGGGTAGAGAGTAAGTTCATTTTGCATTTGTCTGTGGTGTATCTAGGATAGCGATATCTGATAGGAGTATGGTTACATGGGAGTTCCAGACTAGTAGTATTATCAGAAGGTGAAACCTGAGAGATTAAAATGACAATATATAATTATAGAAAAGGAAGAAAATGAGGAAATATGAATGTAAAATATGTGTTTAAGAAGTAATATATGTCAGGTGATGTGGAATAAAAGCTAAAAGAACTTGAAAATTAAAAGGTCAGATGAAAGTTTGGGGTGAGTGTGTAGCACAATTAATGGGAAGGTGATAGTAGTAGGTATATCTTTAATTTTTTGCTTTTTTTATTTAAGGATGCAGAGATTTGAACATATTTAAATGCTAAGGGAAAAGAAAAAAAGATTCAGGAAAGAAACAAAATGTAAAGGAGCAAGGTTCTAGAGGAGATGGGATCAAGGCCACAGGTAGTAGTGACCACAAGTGTAGGTATTATCTATGAACAAGAAAAGAGATTAACATATTTTTATATATAACTGAAGGGAAAGAAGAAAAGTCTGTAAATGCAAATAAGTTTTCTACTGTCATTTAAAATCTTTAATCAGATATTAAACTGTTATATAACATGCCCTGATTAGCTTTCTATAACAACTTTGCTTTCTGTGTACAAATCAGTCTCAGTGAAATAAAAAAGCTGTATTCTAGGCAGAGTTCTAATACCCTGTTTCAAACGTCATTCCTGGGCTGTTTCAGCTTAACTAGCTGCAAAGAATGAATTATGTATAAGCAAAAACTGAAATGAGCTGTGTTGTCCAAGGAGGCTCAAGTTTAAAAATATTAAAGATAATAGATTTTTTTTTTTTGCCTTACTTAGTAACCAAATTTATTCAAAGATACTAAGTTGAAGTTTGATTCTGAGAAGCAGATTAATCATATGGATAATAGATTTTTTTTTAAGACTATCTGTCTCATTCGGTTTTTTCTTTCCTTTTTTTTTTTAAGATTTATTTATTTATGCATACAGACTGGGATACAAGCCAGAGGTGCAGGGGTGAGGAGAGGATTCACCAGAGACAGTAGGGAGCAGAACAGGCAGGGAGCAGCGGGCGGGTCAGGAGAGGTCTGCCATGCCATGTGGGTCACCTCCACGGTGGGAATCGAAACTCACACTAAAGCAGCTGTTGGCTAACTTGCCGTGCTGTGTTCTGATCCATTGAGCCACCAGGTAGGGCCAAAGATAATAGATTTTATCAGATCCATGAACAAGATTTTTAAAAACAGCATATAATACAGCAGCTTCCACTAACTTCAAGTTTTATATCAGTTTGCTTCATTTTTGGAAGCCTCATCAAAATGTTCCACAAGTTTTGGAACTTTATTATCACCACTACCACCTTTCCAGTAGCAAGTGGTACCTTTCTATCCACAGATTGTTTGGGCAGAGGCTTCAGCCAGTCTCAGACTAGTCAGACTGTCTGCACCAAGCTGGTTTAAGATGCTGGGTAACATTTCTGTCAGCATGACCCTTAATGGTGGGAGTGTTTGCTGCCAGAAATGCCTTAATTTCAGGCATTTTAAAGTAGATTACTATTCCTTTGTTCATAAACATAGTCACCTCTTAGGACCAGAGATATTGTTTAACCCTGATTTCTTTAAGGAGTTTTTGATCATCTGTTATATCTGTTCTGTGAACTACCACCCTGTTTTTTTGAGCAGTAGCTTTCCCAGCAATACACACTTGTGCCTGCAATTTGGCTACCTTCTCTTGGTTCATGATAAGATAGGATTTAAGAATCTCCCACTTGATGAGTTCTGTTTTCTTCTTTTTTTAAGATTTATTTATTTATGCATACAGAACTGGGGTACAGGCTAGAGGTGGGGGGGTGAGAGGACCCACCAGAGACAGAGTGGGGTGCAGTAACAGGCAGTTTGACAAAGTACACTGCTGAGGGGAGTAGCAGGTGGGCCAGGAAAGACTTGCCACACCATATGGGTCCCCTTCCTGGTTGGGGATCAAACTCGTGCTGGAATGGCTATGATAGCCTCACAGTGCTGTGTTTTAACCCATTGCATGACCAGAAAGGGCCTGTTTTCTTTTTTAAAGATTATTTATACATAAAAGAACTGATGTATGTGCCAAAGGTGCAGGAAGTGGGAGGATTCACCAGAGACATAACGGGGAGCAGAGCATGTGGATCGAAGGGAGCAGCAGACAAGGCAGGAGAGATCTGCATCATAGGTGTTACCTTAAACTCCAGCTGCAGTGGTGTCAAGACTTTACCATTAGGCCACCAGGGAGACACAGATGAGTTCTTTTTTAAATTTAGAAGATCACTTGCTGAGAGAGGGTTGGGAATGGATTAGGAAATATACTAGGTACTAGTGATGCTTGTGGGTCTAGTCTTATTTTATATTTCAAATTACTTGTTACTTTTTTTTTTTAAAGATTTATTTATTTGTACATACAGAACTAGGGTACAGGCCAGAGGTGCAGGGACAATTAGAGGATTCACCAGAGACAGAGTGGAGAGCATAACAGGCAGATCTTCAAAGTACACTGCTGAGGGGAGCAGCGGGCGGGTCCGCTGTGCCATGTGGGTCACCTCCAGGGCAGGCGGGAATCGAACTCATGGTGAAGTCGCTTTAGCTTCTTAGTGCTGTGCTTTAACCTGCTGTGCTACCAGGGAGGGCCCATATTTGTTACCATTTTAATTTAGTGTACTAGGTGCTTTGAGTGTAAGGTTTCTCAGTGTAAGAATGCCAAGAAACTTGAGCAACTTTTTTTTTTATTATTATTTCAATTAGAGATCAAATTAGCTAATTCTTTTTGCTTTTGTCAGAATTTGCTTATAAATTGAACTTAATATAATGATAATTTGGGCAAGCATTGAGTACCATGCTCATAATCTTTACTAGAACAAGCAGGGTTGATTTCATGTAAAGTGTTGTGAGTAGTTAGCTATATTGTATTACATTGCTTAAACTTTGAGGTGCCCCACTTTTTCCTTCTGTTGCACTTTCTGCCTGATCTGATTTACCAAGCCTCTGGTCTCTGCCAGTTCCTTAGGATGAAATAATTTTTCATATCCTAAGAGATAACACAAACTGTAAATATGAATAAATTGGCTTCATGTGATTTAGGTAAAATATCATTAATCCAAAGTAGTAAATAGTTTTCTGAAATTTTGTGGTAAATTTTATTAAAATAGTACCTTACTATCAGAGAATAACAGAATGATATGTGGATATGATCCATCTAAGGAAGTAGTTCTCAAAGTGTGATTCTCAGGCCAATACAGTAGCATTGGCATCACTTGTGGACTTGCTAGAACTGTGACTCATGAGCCATGATCATCATCTCTGGGATGCAGCTCAGAAAACATTTAACAAGATTTCCATGTGCTTCTTATTTTATTATAGAGCTTTGAGAGCCTCTCTAAGGTCATAGTTTGACCTTTTTTTTTAGATTTATTTATTTTTGTGTAGAAAACTGGAGTGTAGGCAAATTGCTGTAGATGAGAGAATTTATCAGAGACAGAGTGGGGAGCAGACAAGGTAGATTTATTGAATTATACTGCGAAGAGTAGCAGCAGGTGAGACAGAAGAGGTCTACTGGGCCATGTATATTGGTTCCCTGGCCGGGTATTGAACTCAGACTGCAGTGATGATAGCACTGAGACTTAACCCGTAGGCCACCAGGGAGACCCTAGTTGGATATCTTTCTGGTATAGAAAATGATGACATTGTGTTGACAGAGGGATCAATACTTGCTCAGATCAAATCTGTATTCCCCATTGGGAAAAATCCAATATTCCAGTATTGCTGTGGTTTACTTCATTATAAAAACTTTCAAGTTATCAGAAAAATGAAAAATGTATATATAAATATAGCCAATACATATACAACTAATGTTTTTTACTTTGTTTTCTTTTTATTTTCCTGCTTCAGTTATTTATTTGCTTGAATTGTTTTAAAGTAAAATAAGACAGGCCTCACTGATAGTGTAAGGGGTTAAGTCTCAGTATGGTGAAGCTTTCAGCAGCCACTGCAACATAAGTTTGATCCCTGGCCAGCGAGCTAACCCATATGGCACAGCAGACTTCTCCTGTCTCACCTGCTTTTCCCGGCAGCAGTGTATTTCAGTAGATCTGTCTGTTCTGCTCCCCACTCTGTCTCTGTCTAGTGAATCCTCTCACCACCACCACCCCCCAGCACTTTTGGCCTACACCCTAGCTCTTGCGTAAATAAAACTTTTTAAAAAGCAAAGTAAAATAACCTATCATTATGTTTGACGCTCAATATTCTGACAAAATTATTATATAGTATGGCTTCTAACACTTTAGACCTCTTAAATCTTCCAGCCCTTTCCTCTTCATCCCCAGTAATAAGAATTTAGTTTTGTAGCTTCTAGCCCGTTGTTTTTCAAGAAATAAAAGAAACATTTAGTTAAGGAGTAAAATCCAAAAACACAGTTGCAATAAAAAAAAAGAAAAAGAAACCTAAGACTCTAAACTGGAGTTGTCAAAGAGATTTAAATCTTGAAGAATGAATATTAAAAGTAGAAGAAAGTAGAGGTTAAAGTTCCTTTTTTAAAAAAAAGATTTATTTATGTATACAAGGCCAGAGGTGGGGTGGTGGGAGAGTGGTGGTGAGAGGATTCTAGAGACAGTGGGGAGCAAAATAGGCAGCTCTGCTGAAATACACTGCTGCAGAGTACAGAGGGCAAGACAGGAGAGGTCTGCTGCACTATGTGGGTCAGCTCCCTGGCTGGGATCAAACTCATGCTGTAGTGGCTGCTGATGGCTTCAGGGTGCTGAGACTTAACCCTTTGCACCACCATGGAGGTCCCTTACTGTAATTTCTTTAAATTATAAATTAGTGTTTGATTTTTAGGTGTAATTTGGAAATTCTACTGCCATTTAAAAGAAGAATTGTTTTTTTGTTTTACAGTGGGCAAATCAAACTAGCAGATTTTGGACTTGCTCGACTCTATAACTCTGAAGAGAGGTAAGACATTCATGAAAATTATATGTGGGAAATGAAAGAAGTCTGTGTTCTTGTATATCCTAGCTTTTTGCAAGTTGTAATAAATGTCAGCATTCCCTCATTTTCTAACTGTGTTACCACCAAGCTTTTAGACAGTAAATTAAATTTTTGATCCACTCTTAAACTGATAACAACCCAAATTGGAATGGAAGTTATTTTTTCATTTCCTACTTCTTTCCAGTTTGCTTTTGAAACTGTTATGTTGTTTTGGAGTTGTTTTGACAATCCCACTGATATTATACTCTATTTGTATCTAATTGTACAAGTATTTTTCATCAGATGCCACTATAAATATGTCATTTTTTTTTTACATTTCAGTCGCCCTTATACAAACAAAGTCATTACTCTTTGGTACCGACCTCCTGAACTTCTGCTAGGAGAGGAGCGTTATACACCTGCCATAGATGTGTGGAGCTGTGGGTAAGACCCTCTTTTTCTTTTGTTTGTAACTCACATATTGAACTTAATACTGTGTTATCAATCTACATTGACTATTTGTGTTTCTCCTTAAGCTCTAAAGGGTGGGAATAAACTTTTAACTAGTTCATAGAAAACTATTGATTATTTCTTTTTCTATTTTTATTTATTTGTGCTTACAAGAACTGTGTTTAGGCCAGAGGTATGGTGGGTGAGAGACAGAGTGGGGAGCAGAACACATGGATCTACTGAAATACACTGCTGAGGGAAGCTGCAGGTGATGTTTCCTGTTCCATATTGGTTAGCTCTCTGGCCGGGGATCAAACTCATATAGCAGTGGCTGGCCTGATAGCACTCAGACCCCTGCACCACCAGGGAGGCACCATTGACTATTTTCAATATCAGATTCTATAGATTACCCCTTCATGTCTCTTGGGATTCCCTCTCTCCTCTTTGCAGTTACCTTAGAAGAAACTGGATCATTTATCCTATAGAACTTCTCATAGTATGGATTTTGTAGATTCCACCCTTAGAATACGTTTTAAGCATGGTTCTCTATCCCTTATATTTCCTGTAAATTTTAGGTGAATTCAAATACAATTCCTAGCCACCGAAACTACAGGGTGTTTGAGTAACTTTCTCCCCTCTCCCCTTTGATTGTCTTTGGTGAAGATTTCTGAACAGAAACCATATAGTTAATGTTACATTAGATCAGGGAGTGAGAGGCATGAGATGCTTTGCCCAGGCTGTCACTGATGATGTTAACTTAGAGAATTTAAAAATCATCCACTACAAATTAGTCTGCCTTATATTGTCACCTTATACGGACACTTGTAAACATTGTCTGTTGAAATATTCATCCCTCCTCTCAGGGCAGAGTTACACACAGACACAATCACTTTACATCATATACTACACTCTAATTAAAATGTTATCAGCTATCATCCATAGTCATTAATTTGTGATTATTTTATGATGGTAATTTCTAATAATAATTTTCCTGGTAAACAGTTAACATTTAGCTAACCCTTGTTACAAATGATAGAAAAAGATAGTGATAGAGATTTAATACTTTAATTTTATTTACTGGGTTTTCAAGATAAGACAGTTTTTTCAAAGACCAATGGGGGGCAGGGAAATTGAGATTTTTTGTTTGTTTGTTTTAAGATTTATTTATGCATACAAGAACTAGAGTATAGGCCAGAGGTGCAGGGAGGGTATAAGAGGATTTACCAGAGACAGAATGAGGAGCAGAACAGGCAGAATGACTGAAATACACTCCTGAGGGGAGCAGCAGGAGAGACACGAGAGGTCTCTGCACATGTGGGTCACTTCCCTGGTTGGGAATAGAACTTATGTTGCAGTGGCTGCAGATTGCTTCATTGTTCTGGGCTTTAACCTACTATGCCACCAGGGAGCACCCCCCCTTTTTTTTTAATTTCATTATGAACTCACAGATTTAAACATATTTGATGTTTTATTTCATGGTGGTTATCATTCCTTTTTGAACTCTTCAGTTTTTGGCCAGTGAGTATTTATTCAACTTAATTTTTGATTCCTTTTGATTTAAAAGTAGTAGTCTTTGATAGCCTTCCTTGTTTTCTGGTTCCAGGTTCATTCTGTTCTTTTCTTCAAGGAGTCTTAGTCCCTTCCAGTGGAAAATGATATTTAGGGGCCATAGTTTGTGTATGGGCATAGGCTTTTTAAATGGGCCATGTTCATTCATTGTTATGAATGCACTGTCCTTGACCTTCATGCTTTATGATTCTGACATACAATACACACTTTCTAGTGGAGCAGATCACAGTTCCCCATTCTTTCCCTCCTCCATTAATGGGTTTTTTAAAAGATGTATTTATTTATGCACAGAATTGAGGTACAGGCCAGAGGTGCAGGGGCAGTGAGTGGATTCACCAGAGAGAGTGGGGAACAGAACAGGCAGGTTGATGAAGTACACAGCTGAGGGGAACAGCAGGTGAGATAGGAGAGACCTGCTGTGCCATGTGGGTCATCTCCCTGGCCAGGCCAGGGATCAAACTCATCTGAAGTGGCTGCCGCTAGCTTGATAGTATTGTGCTTTAACCCATTGTACCACCAGAGAGAGCCCATTGTGAGTCTTTAAAAGGAGCACTGCATGGGGTTTTATTTCAAAATTCAAAAAGATGATAGAGAAAGAGAGCATAATTTTTTAGGTAGCCTACCCAACTCAAATTAAGCTTTAGTTAAAGTTTAGTGACTCAAGCTGGGTGTGTTTGTTTTCTGAACTATTTGCTTTAACAGGATTAGCAATTAAATTGTCACAACTAGGCTCTGAAGTCAAGACTCCATTAAGATTGGGGGGGGGAGCAAAGGGGGAGTTCATAGCTCTACTAGTACTCCATGTTCATTATGCCACCTCACTGAGCCTGTCACCTCAGTGTAGAGCAGAGTGTTGATTCCACAAGGTTGTCACCAAAAACTGGCAACTGAAAGAAAACACAATTGGAAGTTAACCTTTTCTTTAAAACCGTGACTCATCCAGTTGAGCTTTTGATTTTTTTATGTGAACATACTATTTTAGTGATCCATGGTGTCCGAAAATATTTGTGTGGGATGTTATTTACAGAGAATTGATGGAGTAGTTCAGTTTGAATATAGGGAAGAAACTATAAGAGTAGTACAACAAATTATACCTAGAGTCTGAAACTCAGCATGTCTTTTCTTTTTATATAGTATTTTATCATTTGTGACAAGCACTATATTAGGAATTTGATTTGCTGGTTAATGTTGGAAACTAGATTTTTACCTTTTTTTTTTTAATTTATTTTTTTATGCATACAGAGCTGGGGTACAGGCCATAGGTACAGGGGTGGTGAGAGGAATCACCAGAGAGAATGGGGAGCAGAATAGGCAGGCTGACTTAAATCCACTGCTGAGGGGAGCAGTGTGGGTGGAGCAGCAGGCAAGACAGGAGAGTTCTGCTGCACCATGTGGATCACCTCTCAGACTGGGGATCAAACTTACACTGAACTGGCAGTGGCTGGTTTGCAGTGCTGTGCCCTAACCTGATGTGCCATCAGGGAGGACCCTAGATTTTTACTTTTTTAACTGTATAGTTTGAGAGGATATTGAAAGTGGGAATTTGTAGTTGAGGTTAGCAATAATAGATAGGCACTAATAATTTTAAAAACTAGGTTTGTTTTTCTTTCTCAAGTTTAGTCATGCTAGACAATTTCCAAATAAAAGTATATAAACTTTGATTTTATGTGTATAACTATACACTTAATAATGTAAGTATATACACTAATGAAATTGTCATCACAGTCAACATAATGATTACCTACAAATGGTTCCATATGCTCCTTTTTAATCTGTCTCTATAGGCCACATCATCTCATATAGATTGATTTCCACTTCTAGAATTTTATGTGGAATTGTACAATACATGCTCTTTTGTTCCCCCTCTAATTTTTCCTGAGCATAATTGTCATCAGATTTATTCATGTTAATTAAATTAAGTAATCTTTAACCTCATACTGCTTTTGCCAATACAAGCACACTTAGGAAGTATTGCAGGTTCAGTTCCAGACTATCTCAATAAACTGACTGTTACAATAAAGCAAGTAACACATATGGACTACTGTATCTAATAAGTTACAGTAATTATTTCTATAAAAGCAGTGTATGTGCTTTAATTTAATATGACACAAACATCAATTCATGCTGTCAATGCAAAGGTGCCACAAACCTTCAGTTTGTAGTTTTTAAAAAAGAACATCTACAAAGTGCAGTAGAACAAGATGGGCCTGTATGTTTGGTGTGTGTGTGTGTGTGTGTGTGTGTGAGAGAGAGAGAGAGAGATGCAACATATAATATATACATTGAATAAACTGTATGCACACATTTTTTCCAGAATTATTCAAAGTAATTGCACATATCTTGCTCCTTTTTCTTTTAGTATTTAATATATACTTCCTAAAAACAAAAGACATTCTCCTATGTAATCACAATACAGTAGTCAAATTCAGGAAGATCAATACTGATACACAGTATTTAATGGAGTACTTTAGTCTATATTTCTGTATTATGTCTTGGAAATAGAGCCCTCCCTGGTGGTGCAAGGGGTTAAAGCACAGCACCTGGAAACTGTAGCCAGTGTAGCAACAGTTCAGTCCCTGGCCAGGGAGGTGACCTACATGGCACAGCAGACCTCTTCTGTCTCACCAGCTGCTCCCACCAGTTCTGTTACCTCCTCTATCTCGAACCATCTCACACCCTCCCCACACCTCTGACCTATATATACACACCAGTTTTTATATGCATAAATAAATATTTTTTAAAAAATAATGTCTTGGAAATAATACCTTGAGTGGATACCTCTATTAAGCAGATTTAATCTACTATCCTGTTACATTTAGTTGTCATTTTTTTTAATGTGTAACTGTTAAATAGCTTGTGTCTTTATGACATTTACATTTTTGAAGAACACAGACTAGTTAGTATATAGATTCAGGTTATGAATTTTAGGCTTGAATCCTCCACACATGTTTTTTACAAGATATCACATTTGTACTTAGATACTAATTTGGTCACTTGGTTAAGGTATTGTCTTCCTTACCCACTAAATAGTTACTAGTTTTTCTTTTGTGGTAAATTATTCGTGGAGAAATATTAAAAATTATATAAATAAGGCAATGGAATTTTGGAAGACCTTTGCAGAATAGTAAAAGTTTTTAAGAATAAGTATTCATATATTTGGAAGTCCTGTTGAAACAACCTGGCTGATGACAAACTTTTCTTTGCAAATTTGACACCAGGAGTGCTAAGTGTAATGCACGTTCTATAGTTCAGGTAAATGAAAAAAAAAGACTAGTTTTCCATAGCTGTTCGGCATCTTTGTAAAAATGAAATGTGGTTTTTCTCAGTCTTAGTTTATGAAGGAATTGATTAAAAAAAAAGGACTGCTTACTCCCTTTTTCTGCCTATAAACTATCCTTCAGTTTGATCTGTTGACAAATTTTAAAATGCTTTTATACTGTATTTTCACTGCAAGAACTATTTTCATTTACAAAATTCAGACAGTACAGTTTTGGGTTAGTTTACGGCATGGTATATTAGATACAGCCCTCTATGTTGTAAAAGTTTATTGAGTAGTACTATAAACGGGCTCCAGAGGATTCTCTCTTGACCTCTCAATTTTACTCTCTTTAGATGTATCCTTGGGGAACTGTTCACAAAGAAGCCTATTTTTCAAGCCAATCTGGAACTGGCACAACTGGAACTGATCAGGTACAACTGTGCATGTGCTCTGAGTGTCCAGGTGTGATAGGTTATCTCATTGCTTAATTTCTAATGCTTTTCACTTATTCTACTAAATGATTTTATGTTCTTTATGTCCAAGTAAGTTTATCTTCACTTAATCAGGTTTATCTTTTATTTTCTCAGGGATTATATATGTAGTTGTAATCTACCTACTTTTTGGACCTTTGTATACTGTTTTATTCAAAGCACACCATTCCCAGGATTGCTGTTTTCATTCTTAGGTTAGATTAAGCTCACATTTATTCAGCAAACATTTATTGAACCTGTTCTGTAACAGACTCCTTTCTGTTATATTTTAGGATTTTAGAGTTAGAAGCACAGTGGGTCCTCCCTTTAGAAAGCACAGAGTTTAGTCATATGGTATATAAACAGTTTTATAAAATAGAACCTGTTTGGTGAAGGTCAGTGATTAGGATAGGATTTAGTTATTTTTCTCAGTGAGATTATAGGGAAGAGTACAGCAAGGTAACATAGAATTTTTAAGGTGGTATTTATGGTACCTCCTTGGTTATTCTGTAAACTCAAAAGTTTCCAGTCTTAAAACACGGAAATAGCCCAAAATAGATGACTGAATCAAGAAGATGAGATATATAGACACAATGGAATACTCTGCAGCATCAAAAAAGATATAATAATGCCATTCGCAGCAACATGAATGGAGTTAGAAGGGATCATGCTCAGTGAAATAAGGAAGGAAGAAGAAAAATAATGGTTTCACTTATAGGAGGAATGTAGGGGATTCAAATGAAGGACTAAAAAGTAATAACAACAACAATAAAAAACACAACAAAACCAAACAACCATAAAAAGACTATCAGTCAGAGATACTCTGCAGGGGATGGGGAAGGAAAGAGACCAGGGCAAGGGCAGGAAAGAGCACAAGAGACCCAGGGGGTATCGGTGGTGGAAATTCTGTGAGGTTTACACACAAGAAAAGAAAGCATACATTGTAAATAATAATTAATTTAAAAAAAAAAACAAAAACTTTCTAGTCTTAGGTTTGTTTTTTTTTTTTTTTTAATTTATTATGCTTACAGAACTGGGGTACAGGCCAGAGGTGTGGTAGGTGAGAGTATTCACCAGAGACAAAGTGGGGAACAGAACAGGCAGATTGATAAAGTACACTGCTGAGGGGAGCAGCGGGCAAGACAGGAGAGGTCTGCCACGCCATGTGGGTCACCTCCCTGGCAGGGGATCAAAAACACATGCTGAAGTGGCTGCCACTAGCTTCATAGTACTGTGCTTTAACCCATTGCACCACTAGGGAGAGCCCACTTTTTTTCTTTTTTTTTTTTAAAGATTTAGTTGTGCGTTTAAGAGCTGGGGTCCAGACCAGAGGTGCAGATGATGAGAGGATTCACCAGAGACAGAGTTGGAGAGTAAAATGGGCAGATTGACTGAAATGCACTGAGGGGTGCAGCAGGTGAAACAGGAGAGGTCTGCTGCATCACATATGGTTCAGCTCCCTGGCCAAGGTTGAACTCATGCTCAGTAGCTGCTCATTGCTTCATAGTGCTAAGACTTTAACCCTTGCACCACCAGAGAGGCCTCAGGGTCTCTTCTGCCAGTTTTCCCTATAGGGACATTTTAGACCAACTCAGCCCTCTGAAACTCAGTGAACAAAACTAGTAGTGAAAAGCTTTATGGAGGATTAAAAACATACTTTACAAAACCAAATAGTGAATCATTTTGGACTTTTGTGCCAATATTGTCACTTTGTCATAATCTTTTCTTTGTGTCCTGTTTCTTCTGAAACCAGTGAGGTCATGTTTTACATTTCTATATGCCTTCTAATTAAAAGGCCAAGATTTCCTAGGCTTCAAGAGATGATAATTTCTGCTTCTAGAAATCATGGTGTTGACTTACTTGCTTCCTTGTTTTTGCTTTGATTTCAGTCGACTCTGTGGTAGCCCTTGTCCAGCTGTGTGGCCTGATGTTATCAAGCTGCCATACTTCAATACCATGAAACCGAAAAAACAATATAGAAGGCGTCTACGGGAGGAATTCTCTTTGTGAGTTTTATAAAAATATACATCTACTTTCTCTGTTGACTGATATCCAGACTTTACTTTTTCCAGGGTTATGGCACTAGTGTTACCTCAATTTATTATGGTTAAATACCATAGGAAAACATTTTATATTTGAATAGATGTGAATTCTGTCAGTCTTTTGTTTTCCGAAAACTTCAGATGATACATCATTTTATTTTGCACAATAAGTATATATAAACCACTCATAGTTTTTTTAATCTTTCCAAGAATGAAAGTGCTGGCTTTATGTTTTACACATAGTATAGCATTCCTTAAGTCTTGTGTAGAAGCAAATATACTTGTGCTAGTGAGCTTCCTGTTGCCTTTCCACAGTTTTAGATGTCGTTGGAAATTCAGAGACATTTGACCCAGGCTTACAGGTTTAAGAACTGTGAAGTAGTTGTGAACTTGTTCTTCTCTCTCCACAGCATTCCTTCAGCAGCACTTGATTTGTTAGACCATATGCTGACACTGGATCCTAGCAAACGTTGCACAGCTGAACAAACCCTACAGAGTGACTTCCTGAAAGATGTTGAGCTCAGCAAAATGGCTCCTCCAGAGTAAGTATAGTGGCCATGCAGTCATTCTGAACCTCCCTCTAGGCCTTAGGAGATGAGAAACCAAGTTTTTTAAAAGAACTACAAATGACTAAATCCCAAATGGAGAGATGTACTTGAGTTATTGTAGTTGAAAAGAGGTTCGTTTTGTTGATTTTTGTTTACTTTTTAAACATGGAATAGATTTATTTGTATATATGGATATAGGTATAGATATATTCTAATTTGACTTGGGCTATTATTCTGTCTTAAGATTTGTTGGTTTAAGAACTGGGGTGTTAAAAAAAAATAAAAAAAGACTGGGGTGTAGGCCAGAGGTGCCAGGGTTGGAAGGATTCACCAGAGACAAGAGTGAGGAGCAGAACAGGCAGATTTACTGAAATACACTGATAGGGGAGCAATGGGTGAGTCTGGAGAGGTCTGTTGCACCATATGGGGGTTAGCTACCTAGCTGGGGATGGAACTCAGGCTGCAGTGGTGATAGTACTAAGGCTTAAGCCCTACTCCACCAGGGAGGCCCCTTGGGCTATTATGTGCCTTGAATTCCCATTATGTTGCTCTTGAAAATCTTCCTTCTAGCTTTTGCTCTAGCTAGTTTGTCCATCTGCTTGAATCCTCTTGTGTTTGTGAGGAACATGTGTATCTAATACTTGCAAGAACAATCCTAGTTTTAAGTTGTTTGCATCACTCCCAGGTCATATGTCCTGGATTTTGTAGAAAGTATGGTATTTGAATGTGTTCTCTTTTATTAGAATCGTAATGAATTTCCTGTGTTCTTTAAGAACCCTCAGAGGTTCTTCACTCCTGTCTCAGATTCTGGCAGATAAAAGTTTTACCACTGAATTTATTGCTGACAGCATCATAGTTTTCATGTTTTTGGGCATTCCCTTCTTACTAAGTCTTTCATAGAAAGACTGTATATATAAAGAAATGGGTAGGATGTTAGTACATGAGTTGGTAGTAACTACAGATCTGATTGTTCCAAAGAAATATCCAGATTGATTTACTGTACTATTTTGATACATTGAATGTGGCTTGAAAAAAAAATTGGACACTTTTTTTACAGAGAGATTTTGGCTATAGTAATCTTCACCATAGTAGCATTTGACCTTCTTGGACTGTTCATATCTTGAGTGTGGGGATATGTAGAAATATATTAAGTACGTTAAGCCATACATGAAAATAGGCAGTCATGGAATTTTAGTGGGCAAGTAGAAGAAAGAACGAGTTTTAAAGTCCTCACAGAACAAATAACAAATTTGATTTTACACAGAGGTGGTTTTATCATGATACACTGTGTGCTTTCAAGATTTAAATCAACAGCTTGTCCAGACTCTTTGTAGATATTAACAAGACAGTCATTTCTGTCCTGTCCATTCTCAGTTGAAACTTGACTAATGAAGTTTCCTCTATTTTTGTTACGCCAAGTAAGAACCTTATAAAATTTAATTATTTGACTGGACTATAAGTGTTTATATGGCAGGTATGTCTCTGACATTGACAAGCTCCTCACTTTTCACTGTAGAAGTCATTTGAATTTATGGACTTTTATTTTCCTCTACCATATGTCATTAATTTCTTTGACACTGCTACTGTATTAGCTAACTTCCCTGGTTATTGTTTTCCTTACCCTTTTCATTTCTCACTGCTCTTTACTTTTCCATTTTAATCTTTTCCTCCAGTCACTCACTACTGCATTCCCATATACATTTTTCATTTGCTTTGTCTTTTTCCAGCCTCCCCCACTGGCAAGACTGTCATGAATTATGGAGTAAGAAACGGCGACGGCAGCGACAAAGTGGTGTTGTGGTAGAAGAACCACCTCCTTCGAAAACCTCTCGAAAAGAAACTACCTCAGGGACAAGTGCTGAGCCTGTGAAGAACAGTAGTCCAGTACCACCTCAGCCTGCTCCTGGCAAAGTGGAGCCTGGGGCTGGGGATGCAATAGGTTAGTGTTGGGAAGGAGCCCTTGTTTTGTTTTGTTTTGTTTT